GGTTTCCCTTTTCTGTTTTGCGCTTGCGACTCGAGAAATGCTTCCATTTCGGTCGCCAGAGTAACTGCTTCGGTCAAAGTCGTTGCTTTCCTGGAGAAGATGTGACGCTGCAGCTGTTCCTCTCGCAGGGCATTACGGAAAGCCTCGACCGCCAAATCCTAACGGGCCTGTGTGGGCAGCTTCGGGTAGCTCTTCAACACCAACCGTCGGATGGATTGTCCTAGGCTACTGAGTGACTCGTCTCGGCCCCTCGTACGCATAGACAACTGAGCCCGATGTAGTGGAATCTGTGCTGTCACCCCGAACCGCTGCTCGAAGTTTTCCAAAATGGAGGAATATTCCTTCCGCGTTTCCGGTACCATAACTGCCAATGCCTCTTGAGCCGTGCCCTTTAGGTGAGATGCAAGGAACATCGCCTTCTCCGCCTCACCCCACTGATTGACTGCTGCAACGCTCTCGAAATGGATCAAGTAATCCGACCATGACGAGATCCCGTCAAACTTGTTGGGGAGCATCAGTGGTCTCCGACCCCCCGGCCCGAAGTGATCAGGCGTTGTAGTCCCCCGCTTGACTGGCACTTGGGGAGCGCGCCCCCCTGCCTGTTTAGGGGCCACCCAAACATCAGCAGAAACCGGGTCGGCCCCCCCCCCCCCCCCGGGAGCACCAGGTGGTGACGTCCCAGGGGATCTCCCAACTGCAGTGGTGTACGGCCGAGCAGCCGGGTCGGTTCCGCTCCGTTGGCTTGTGTGCGGAGCAACCGTGCCGGCTCCGCGCCATTGACTTCTGTGCGGAGCAGCTCTGCCCCATTGACTCCCGTGCGGAGCAACCTTGCTGGCTCCGCGCCATAGACGTCCGTGCGGAGCAACTCTGTCGGCTCCGCCCCATTGACTCGTGTGCGGAGCAACTCTACGGACTCCCGCCCATTGACTTGTGTGCGGAGCAACTCCACGGGTTCCACTCCATTGACTCGTGTGCGGAGCAACTCTGTCGGCTCCGCCCCATAAACTCCCGTGCAGAGCAACCTCGTCGGCTCCGCACCATTGACTTGTGTGCGGAGCAGCTCTGCCCCATTGACTCCCGTGCGGAGCAACATTGCCGGCTCTGCGCCATAGAGGTCCGTGCGGAGCAACTTTGTCGGCTCTGCCCCATTGACTCGTGTGCGGAGCAACTCCACGGGTTCCACTCCATTGACTTGTGTGCGGAGCAACTCTGTCGGCTCCGCCCCATTGACTTGTGTGCGGAGCAACTCTACGGACTCCCGTCCATTGACTCGTGTGCGGAGCAACTCTGTCGGCTCCGCCCCATAAACTCCTGTGCGGAGCAACCTCGTCGGTTCCGCACCATTGACTTGTGTGCGGAGCAGCTCTGCCCCATTGACTCCCGTGTGGAGCAACCTTGCCGGCTCCGCGCCATAAACGTCCGTGCGGAGCAACCTTGCCGGCTCCGCGCCATAAACGTCCGTGCGGAGCAACCTTGCCGGCTCCGCGCCATAGACGTCTGTGCAGAGCAACTTTGTCGGCTCCGCCCCATTGACTTGTGTGCGGAGCAACTCTACGGACTCCCGTCCATTGACTCGTGTGCAGAGCAACTCTGTCGGCTCTGCCCCACAGATTCCCGTGCGGAGCAAGTCCACCGGCTCCGTCCCACAGAGTCGTGCAGTGCGGGCCTGCTCCGAGTGGAGGTCAGGACTCGCCGCACTGCGATAGTGGGGACGAAAGTACTGCTGGGGGAGATCCACATCGGGTTGTGCCGCCTGATGCGTGCTCGGACGGTTTCCCGCCCCCGCTATATTGGCAAATCCAGCCTGGGGGCGCCCCGAATGGGAGGCCACACCAGTCGTATCCATGTAAGCACCGAGTGGTGCTTCAGTACTATTTTCATGAGCGTAGGGATTGCGGGTTGCCCCAGGACGAAACCCCGCCCCCGCTGCATCAACCAGCACAGCTCGGGATCGTTCCGAATGGAACGAAACGTCTGCTGCGCTAGCGTCTACAGCACAGGGCGGCCCCTCGCGGGACCCGGCATATGCGGCTTTATTACCAACAAACTGGGGCATGTCCCGACGAAGCCCCGCCCCCGCTGCATCGGACAGCACAAATCGGGTGCCAGACTTCCGTGATCTCCTGAATTCATTGCAGAAAATATCTGAAAAATTCACCTGTTTTTCCGCCTTCTGCGTGCCGCCGCTGCCACCAATGTAGCGTAGAACACTTCTGGGGTTCCTCACACGCACTCAAAAAGGACTCCCAACACAGGTTTACTCGTTTCTGCTGCTTCAGGCTGTTTATTTCTCACAAAAACGTACACCGCAAAACACTTCAGCAACGAGGCAACAACAGTACTACTGCGCATGCGCCGCCCAGAAGAACGGGCCTCCCCGGCCGGCCACCAGGGGCTCCACTGCGCAGCTCCACCGTGGAACCGCGCTGGTGCCCTCTGGCGGCCGACTGGCACGGACGCCACAATACAACAAAAACAATGTTAACCCATCCGTGGATTTTAAGGAGAGCGATTTGCTCTCCTAAAAGATTTGAGGAGAGCGATTTATAGCTCTCCTGGATTTTCTTTAAATGAAGGACTGTAACAACGCACGCGCGCGATCAGGCAATGGTAGATTTGCACTGACACACACGGTGTTTACACACATGCCAGGGATAAACGCAATTGCTACAACAAAAACTGTTCCACACGCACTTCACGTAATCAATAACTGACTTAGTAAAGTTTAATACTGCTGTTCATGTTGCGACTCGCCATGTACAAACTGTTTGTAATGACTGTGTCTTCAAAACGATGCAGTTTTCACATTTATACATGTATGGTGGTATGAACGTAATAATTCTACACATGTACATGACCAGGCTTTAATGCAGACTATGCATTCATTACGTATTTATATTTCATGCGGACTAAGAATAGCGACAGTGCTTTCGGACTGAGAGTAGCGACAGTGTATTTATGTACTGCGTATATGTTACATTTAAGTTCTTCTTTACCCACAGATCCACGGGCAGTTGCAGCCATCCACAATCCTGAGCAACGCCTGCTTGTGTTGGAAGAGGGAAGCAAGTATGTCAAGGTGTTCAACATGAAGAAGAACACCCTTGTCTTCAAATTCCCAACGGTAGCACCGAGGGAGGTTAAGAAGACACAAGTGAATCTAGAGAGTCTAACAGTCAAGAAGGGAGGTACAATCTTAGTGGGTGACATCAAGAGAATGGTGTGGACTGAACACAGACCCACTGATGGTGAGATCCTACACACCATACCAGTGCAGACTCCTCCTTACTTCCTGGCTGTTGATGACGACACTGATAGAGTTGTGGTCAGTGGATATGACACAGGGAATGTGGATATAGTAGATTGCAAAGGTACGCCACTCACCACCTTCAAACCAACCATCGATGGTGGGCCAGTGGAGTTCCGTGGTTTATGTTGTGACAGCTCAGGCATCTACCTTGCAATAAGCCAAGAGATATATTACGATTTCGTTGGTCATATTCACCACTATGACCTAGATGGCAGGTTTCTTGATTGCCTGCCTCATCAGGGTCTGTATAACCCATATGGAATCACATTCACGTCTGATGGCCAGCTGGCAGTGGCTTCCCGATCCTCAGTCATGATGTATCATAAGGTGTGATGTCATCCAGCATGACATTGACTAGCAATCATCATCATCCAATTCCAACACCAAATGTTGAGGATGAAGTTGTTCAGTCATTACAGCACCATTCAACATTCGATCATGCCCCACTTTTGCCGTGAATCCTCTTTTAAGGTAAAACCCAAATTGAGCCATTATATTCGGGTTTTCAAACCAGGGTTAAAGATCTCTCTTTATGATCTCCAGATTTTATCTCCTTTAATAAAGCAGTTTTAGCACCAGATGAATGTCTACCACCAGCAGGGACTGATTAGTACTGCTTGACTGAACGGCTTACCGGCATGCTTCAATCGATCCTCAGAAGCCTAAACGAACCTATAGATTTTTCACGAATCAAATATCCAACGTAATATTCGTTTTTCTCCAGTAATGAAACCATATTCTCTTTCTTGAATCATTGAAATTGATGCACAAACAACAGAAATCGTGAATTTGTCGGACTGTGCCTGTATGGGTTGCCAAAATGTAGATCCAGCAGGAAGTCAACAGTGGGGTCGTTCAGACACCGTTTTAAATTCCCTTAAAACACCGCTTATGCTCAATTCATTGTAACTTTCTTGCTTAGACGATGTCTGAACGCTTTTTTATTACAGACCGAATCGAGTTGAACTTGAAAATAACACGGCAACTTCCTCGGTGGGATCGTTTAGCAAATAACCAGAACGAGTTTATCTCCTAGTACGATGTCTGATCGGTTTTAGCTAAAACGCTTCCCGTTTAAGCCAGCGCAGTGACCCGGAGTTACGTAATGCCTTCTCCGTGGCACACTTTTCTGTAAGCAAACGATGTCCTAATTCTCCTACTGTTAAAAAAAAATCCAATTTCGAGTCCAATTTTCGCAAGTTTTCTGACCACTTGGTCCAAGTTTCACATCGTGCTCGCTCACATAACAAACGTTTAAAAGCCAACGCAACAACCGCTATTAACTGGAGCATAATTATCATAATACACTAACTACCAGAAAAACCTTGGCGTTGATTGGTCAATATTGCAACGTTAATATCACGTGTATTTTCACGTGACTGACATGTTGTGCAGGCAAGTTTATGTATTAAACCTTGAGTGAAGCCTGTTCAATGACGTCTTGTTTCGAACAATGGTTTTTGAACAACTTTTCAGAACATTTTTTATGTCGTTTTGCACCACGAAAGGTACAGAAAATAGCCCCCAAAATGTAAACACAAAATGGTGTATATGTAGAGCTGATGTACGATACTTCCCGAAAAATGGGAAAATTGCCCCACTGGACAAGTGACTGTCGTCATGTTTACCGGCGTGCCACGCTACATGACCGGCCGAGGCTGCGATGTCAAACACGGCATAGCAACGCACATCATGCGGTGAGGGTCTCGGACCATGTGTAGCGAACTGTAAAAATGGAAGAGTGAAGGCTCTTTTTAGCGCGGGGTTTTTGCCGCGGATGTTCTACGTGACCTTAGAAACTGAGATAAACTGCTTTGAGTTGAACTTTCTATATTTAAAACGATGTCTGGACGCTCGGTAGTTTTATTTTTACGACGGGCCTCCCGTGGTGAGCGTCCGTTTTAACTTTTACCGTTTTAGCTAACACGGTGTCTGAACATGGACTAACATCGAAAGCCTGGTATGAAATGGCCCAGGTTTTTTAAAGGGAAAACACCTCAGGTCTCTCCTCAAAATTCCAAACACAAACACAAACTGCCAATCTCTCTAATGAGAACCATTTTGATCTGAGAACACAAAACCCCTTTACAAAAAACATTTGTCTGAGTATACAAAAACCCTAAAGTAATATGGATTAAATATTCAATTGATTACAATTGTTTCCACAGGCGACCCTTTTGTGTTAATTTTATGACTAGAAACTATTTCTGCGGTAAATTTGAAAGGAGAGAGTTTAGTGGGTGTTGAGGTGTTTGAATGCAATGATCCCTGCCTCCTCAACCCAACACCCCTTCCTTATCCAGTACATGGATTGCCATAAATCTATCCAATAAGTAAGATTTGAGGCTGTGCATGGTGGAGATACTAAATAATGAAAGGTTTGCGGAAACACCATGTGCGAATAATTTCTCAACTAAGAGAATGGTTCTGAAAAGAACCAGAGGTATAAACTCGACGTTCCGGTCAGTATGCTCTGACCGTCTTCAGGAGAGTGCCTAAACTCTACGAAAGGGAATACTTAAGTAGCAAATGGCGAAGTCAATGAAGTGAGAAGTTGCATCCTGTGAGGATGCCAAGTAGACATGATCCTAGAACAAGCTTGGTGCCCACTGAAGTGGAACAGTAGGGTTGCAGTGTCAGTAGAGGGAGGACCTAGGGTATAGGAGACCCATCAGTCTAAGGTGGTAGCTGAGGACCTAGGGTATAGGAGACCCATCAGTCTGAAGAAGTGGGAGCCAGATGTCGTTGAGGTGAAACCCGATGTCTTGCGGAACTGTGTTGTGCTTGCGGATCTCGATGGCTTCCCGTATGCGTCTTGGATGCCAGATCTGGATCGGTGCGATGAGTTCGGCCGCATCCCAATCAACTTTGTGGTCATTGGTGTGGAATGTTTGACAATGGCCGATTTGTCAAAATCCCCTCACCGTCCATGTGCTCTGTGTTCCTTGAGCCTAGTGGGAAGGTTCCGACCGGTTTCGCCGATGTAGACTTTGCCGCATTCACATAGAATGCGGTAGACTCCCGCCTTGGAAGAGGAGTCCTGCTTGTCCTTGTGAGTGTGGAGGCTGCCTTGGAGCTTGTTGCCAATGAGTGGTACACCTTGATGCCGGCTTGTCGGAGGATGCGTTGCAGATGATGTGAAGCTGGACCTATGTAAGGAAGAGTGACTGAGGGAGATACAGTGGAAGGACCTTGGGTATAGGAGACCCATTGGTCAGGTTTGCTGATCGTGATGCAGTTGGGTTTGTAGCCTTTCCATTGTAGTGACGCCTGGATGTGCTTGAGTTCACGCTTGAGGTTGTCTTGGTCGCAGACCTCAAAGGCTCTCTGTACTAGGATGCGGTTGACCGATGACTTGATGCTGGGGTGATGAAACGACCGCTGGTGGAGATAGCGGTCGGTGTGGGTTGGTTTCCTGTAGACGCTATGTCCCAGGGTGCCATCCAGGTTCCTGGAGATCTTGACGTCCAGGAAAGGAATGGTGCCGTGCTGTTCTTGTTCCATGGTGAAGCTGATGCTGGTGTGTTGCTTGTTGAGGTACTGGAGGAAGTCTTGGAGTGTGTCTACTTGGCATCCTCACAGGATGCAACTTCTCACTTCATTGACTTTGCCATTTGCTACTTAAGTATTCCCTTTCTTAGAGTTTAGGCACTCTCCTGAAGACGGTCGGAGCATACTGACCGGAACGTCGAGTTTATACCTCTGGTTCTTTTCAGAACCATTCTATTAGTAGAGAAATTATTCGCACATGGTGTTTCCGCAAACCTTTCATTATTTAAATCTATCCAATACTTACCAACTTTTTGTGGTGTTTATGAAACCCAGGCTTCGTTGTGGCTTCTGCTTCATCTCTGGCACTAGATTCCTAAGAATCCTACCACATTCAAACTCAATGACAATGCACCAACCATCCATTGGCCTTGTGTGACAGGATTTGGTGTCTCTAAAGAAGAAAACGGACCAATATTGTACTGGAGTTACATCAGGGCACAAAAATCATGAAGCCGAAGACAAAGCCAGGAACAAAGCCAAGATTTCATAAACACGATTAGGATTCTTAAATTGTTCCTGATGGAAGTTGCTGTAAATATTCTGCTATCTTTATAACCAAGATTTGAAAAATGTTTAGGATCATTTTGTTCTTGAGATTCAACATTCTTAACATTTACAAATGCATTACTCAGTTCAATTTAGTGTTAGGATTAGTGTTCAAGATAATGCATTTTACTCAGTTCAAATAGGCAGATACTAGTGTTCAAGATAAGCCTTTATTCACTCAGTTAGTTTTTTGTTACTTTTTTTGCTGTTGGCATCTGCCTATTTAATGAAACACTACTCTTCCAAGTAAATTGAGTTGTCCAAATGTATCCTCATTGGTTTCAGATCTGCATTCATTGAATGGAGAATTGTGTTGACAGTGTTCATCAGGTTTATATCTTGACCTCATCAGAGGCTTCATATGAATTTGTTGTGTTCACTTAAGCTCAACCCTCTGCGGGCCCGTTTCCGGGCGAAAATTCCCGTAAAATGGCCCTTTTTTCCGACGGTTTTAGTCATAGTTTGATAACCGCGCGGTCTCTTTCAATGGGGTTAAATGGTTTCATACACTTTAACCCTTCTCTTTCTCATGATATATATAATTTTTTTTATCTTGAAAAAAATCCCCGTCATTTCGGCTTTGAAAATTTGAACTTTTCATCATTTTCCTGTGTAAACGCACCGATTGAGCGCCCTCGCGTCGACTCTTTTGACTGTAACTCCTGACTGGAGTACTGAATTGTACGGGGTTAAATGGAATCGAATAGCTTAGTCCATCTTCTTTCCTTACATGTAACACTTGTTTTGACGGGTTGAAAAAAAACAACCGTCATTTTCACAAAGAAAAAAAGGGGCCAATGACAACTTTCGATCGATAAGGCATAGTTGGGGACTTACATGTACATCGAAGCACATGTACCATTGTTTACCAAGCGTTTCATGATCTTGGACTCCGCTCATCACACGTTTTACAGGACATGTTTTCTCCAATTCTACTTTAAATAAGACATTTAAAAACTATCCATTTGTAAATTAGTTATCTGGAATTATAACTGTGGTGTTTATATGTTTTAATTTCATTTTAAAATAATGTAAATTTGGATCTGAACACTGTCATTTCAAGGCAGTTATAGAAATTTGTGATGGAAAGAACACGCATTTGTTTATTGGGCCGTACCATTTTGTTTGTGGGGAGGATATCTATGCAAGTACACGTAAGTGTATGTCAGATTTTTTGAAGGAAACGAACAAATGAAAGGATGTATATGTCAAGCTTGACAAAATCAGACAAGATTGTACTATTACCTTTACATTGATATGTGCACAAATCCTGTACATTCTACTGTATAGTTTTGTTTTATCCATTTTATGAATGGAGTGTGCTGGGCCACATTTTAGGGTCGGATGCACAGCCCCACAGGACAAGCTTTAATCAGATTTAAATGTGGGGTAACAAATTCACATGTTAATAGTAGAAGTCAAAGCCGGAGACAAAGCCAAAATTTCGTAAACTCCCTGAGATTCTGGAATGAGATTAATGGAATCTACGTGTAATCGATCCAATTGTACTTTTAGTAATAGGAATTTTGAGACAGTTTTACAACCACTTCATCCTTGAGATGTAACCATACTACAAGTAGTTTGTGAAATAATATCATTTAAGTTCATTTTTAGCATAAGCATCACCATGATAGTTAGCACTCACAGTACTGTTCAATAAGCCTTTATTTACTCAGTGTTTATACTACTTTTTGCAGTTACGATACACTTTCATGTATATTGAAGATAATTTACTCATTGAAATGTTTGCTAAAGATGAGTGAAAATTTATTCCAATGGTTTTCTGTCTTAGTTAACAGAACAAGACTCATGTTTATAACAATGTTTTTATCTTAGTTTGAAATTTCGTTGACAATTGTTTCTCAGACTGTCAAATATCTCTTCAGTTTGAATGATTAGAAATCAATTCGACTGAAGCTGAACTTCAGAAAGGAATACGGCCTCAGTTGCCTAGATTTTGGCCTGACTGCCTCCTTGAAAAGGCCCCACACAATTAGCAAATTTCGAATCCAGGTTTTTTCCTTACAAACCAAATAGATTTCCTCGTCGTTTCAAGAATTTAACTGCAAACCTCTGTTTTCAGTGCTTTACAGTTTTGTTGCCATTTCAGAAAACTGGAAAATAAAAAAAAATCATCACTTCAGTTTGTGTTTCAGCAAAAATTATGAATTTGTTTGCAAAGTATCAATCTTATTGTAAAAATTAAATGTTCAAGTAGACTTTTAAGAGTTCAACAATTCACCACTGTATGTAGATCTTAGTAGTCACAACAAGACTTTGTAAATTCTTTTATGAATATTCTTCAATGTGTGTAGATCTTAGTAGTCACAACAAGACTTTGTAAATTCCTTTATGAATATTCTTCAATTTGTTCGTAATAGAACATATACATCTACTCATTGTATACTGTGCTATCTCTACATTACATTTTCTGATAATAGAAATTACAGCCTGTACACTTTTAATTATTCTGTATTTCTGTTAACTTCACTGCTCAAAGCCACGTAGCATCATTTGCAATTACCCAGATAAGCGCCTACCGATTTAATGACAGAAACCTCAAAGTGAAGATAGGACTGGTAACAAATACCCTGTGAAATAATTCCACCTGAAACGGTATTGTCAGAAAACAAACATTGAAGGTGCTTTCAAAATGGGGTGCCTACAGAATCCAGTTACGAGATCCAAAGAAATGTAAAGTAGCCACTCAGCTAAGACTTGAACAGAATGCTTGTTATGCAACCTACATACATGTACGTAAAAATATTGAGCACTTTTGTTGCTTCGGGAAAAAAACCTGCAAAAAGCAAATGAAACCTTTAAGCATACACATCACAATGAAAGTTAATCACTTTGAAAGATTACTTAAAAAATTAGTCCTGTTTTTAATATTCACTCAGTTTCTTTAAAAAAAGTTTTGGTAGTTTTTGTTTAATTTTTGTAGTTTTTATAGACATCATGTTTATTGTTATTATTTACAAGCCTTGTACATTTGCATTTATGTATATCAATGAAACACAAATGTGGATGATAATTTAATCATCAAAATGTCTGCTAAAGATGAGCACAAATACTTATCCTATTAATTTGGTTTCCTGTCTGAATTCACAGAATAAAGACTTGTGTAAACTTTACTCACAAGGGATTATCTTGATGGAAATTTTTATTGTTTTTCTTTGAAAGTAAACATTCTTCAAGTGTGAAAGGTTGCCACTCATTGTAACAAATCCTCAAATCAATGGTATTGAATTTCAGGAAGCCATGGCCTCCGTTGCCTTATTTTGGCCTGACTGCCTCCTTGAAATTTCCTTGCCTTTTCAAGAATTAAATTCCAGATCTCTGTTTTCATTGTTGAACCTATTTGGTTGCCATTTCAACTTGAAATGAATGAAAACAATTATACCCATCACTGTAGTTTTCAGTTTCAACAAAGAACTATAAATTTTCAAGAAACTTTTCAAACTCTACTGTAATTAATTCTATTCAAATTTACCTGTAAAATTTTGAAATGAGCAGAAATAAATGCATTCATCCTTTTTAGTCCCTGGGATAAGGACATTTATTAGCAACATTTTGTGACTAATCTTTTAAATATTACTTTGTTGAACTAAACCTTGGGACATCTGAAACTCTGACTTGCACAGCTGGTATTTGTGCCTTCCAGCTCAAACAACTGTAATCTCTGATGCTAAATTTGTGGAAACAGATAAAATAATGTTTTGGGCCACTGCTCTCACCAAAAATTGCTTCATTGTGACCTGTTTTCCCTTTTTACCATCTTGATAGGTTGGGTAAACAAGGACAAACATGGTTGGTCCCCATTGTATCCACATTTGTGATTTCTGAACATTGCTTTAAGGACACCCAAGAAACTCTGTGACTTTACCCTATTTGGGGACACTTGTAATAAGTTCAAAACACATACACATGTAGTTATTCTTTATTCTAAACATGCCAGCTAACTTGGTGAACAAAGTGGATTTTCATTAGTCTTGCGGGAAAGGGGTCCAGAAGTAGGCTTGCGACTATGGTTTCTCTCTATTAAAGTGAAGCCCTTTTCACACTAGACATATCTCGGGGTTGACGTAGGGTTGAAAACATGTATCGTTTCACTCTTAAAGAATTTCAACCATGTGTCAACCCCGAGATTGATTTCGCCCTGGGTTGAACTCAACCCTACTCCACACCAGGGTTGAGATTTTCAACCCAGGTTGAAATTCTGGCCAGGGTTCAAAACAGTAGTACCTGAGCATGACAAGCTTGATTTGCATGAAACAAGTGTGAAATGATGTGGGGTTGAACACGGGGTTGAAATAAAAAACTCAACCCAGGGCGGCACTGGGTTCACCCAGGGTTGAGTTCAACCCAGGTTGAGAGGCTCTAGTGTGAAAAGGGCTGAAAAGTTGGTTCTAGTTGCCCCATCTCCCCTCCCTCTAAGAAAGTTTACCCCCCCCCCCCCCATGAATGGGGCAACTTAATAAATGATCACGTTGGGCTTACCGAGAAGTGACTGCTTGTAGTGAAGGCCATCCCACACGGTTGCATCCTTTCCACACGACCGCCATACATGACTGCTTTGGCTGATTCCCAATTTTTACGGGTCAAATAACATCATTCAAAGTCTGTTGGTAACAAAATCAGAGTCTATAATACTTCGGCATGAAATAGTGCAAGGATGGATGATCAAGTCAAATGGAAAATTTGTCAGTGAAATAAATGTTTTTACTCTTTTTTTTTCAGGTTGAAGTCGATTATTAGCTTCATGAATGACTGCTGCATGGTATTTGGTATGGATTATGGAATTTGAGTTGGGATAATCAGCCTGAAACATTACTGGAAAAAACTGAAACTACCCTTACCCCCTTTCAAAAATGTGTTTTCTAGATGTTTCAGACCAAATTCAACATTTTTAAATTTGTCTCATTTAAAAAAAAAAACAACTCTGAATTCAGGTTAAAACCTAAAAAGTGGCATCTCTAGATTAATAGAGGGAAAATGGAATATTTTGGAATACACTGGAATACAATATACGGTCCTGGATTTCCGGGCTCTTACAATCTAGATTTTTTAACGTACATGTAGTTGTGCCTCCAGCTCTAATTGCAATAAGCATTGGAGCTGGAGTTACTAACATTGAAACGCCGCTATAACGAACATGGTGGAGTCAACAGACAGTATTTGTTATAGTGGTTGTTCGTTATAGCATGGTTATATTGATTTTGCATTAACTATAATAAAATTTACTATTTTGGGAGCCCATGGGGATTATTTGTTATAGTCAAATAATGTTTGTTATAGTGGTGTTCGTTATACAATGCCACGTTCAAGGCTAATACTATACATTTGTATATAGTGGCATTTCACTGCATGAGATATGGATTAAAGAATCTTGGTTGGGATAATAGAGGGAAAATGGACTATTTTTGCAACACTGGGGGTACACGGTCCCGGATTTCGGGCCTCTTACGATCTAGTTTTTTTTAACGTAATTCTGCCTCCAGCTCTAATTTAATGCGATAAATAAGCATTGGAGCTGGAGTTACTCAAGTTAACTCAAGCTATATGCATCCAAATAAAAAAAAAGATAGTGGATATTTTGCCGGAGGTAATGCTGGCGAACTAACGTTTACTAAAGGTTTGCCGGCGGCAATCATCATATCAACAGAGGGCGCAGTACTCTTTAGATAGGGCTGAATTATAAAATGTATTAAATTCCCACCAAAAGTTGTGTAGCACACTTGGTGTAGTGGTTAAGCAACGGCCCTTGTGAGCGGGATGACCCGGATTCGATCCTGATCCCTGCCACATTTCAAAGGTTTCTTTGGGGGGGGGGGATGGCCCCAAATAAATAAGAATATCCTTCTTTTGTTATTTTAACATGTCTCAAACATTTTATTGCAGAGTATTACATTTTCATTTTCAGATTTGTGGCTCTGGAGGATTTTTTTTTAAAGTGAAATAAAGTCTGAAATTATAAAATGGTCTGATTCCTATCTTATGAATACGAAGTTACAACGATAACATTGGTCTGATTCCTATCATGTGAATACGAAGTTACAACGATAATATTGGCATGGAGCCAGACTAAAATTTGTCACCGGAAAATGTTTAAGTACCAAAAAACAGTAGGCCTAACTGCACATGTTCAGTGCATATTCCGCAAACTAACGTTTGGCCGTCTCCGGCAAAATATCCACTGCCATAAAAAAATAATTTTCTGACAAACTTTTAGTCCGAGTAACTTGGACCCAACTTATCGCCTTTTTTAACATTCGGGCATGATCTACCGGGCGACAATAGGGTCCAAGCTAATGGTTTATGTAGAGCAACACAATTCTGTCACTGACCCAAACACCAACATTGCCCAACAAAAACATCAGATTTCACCCTCAAAATGGCCTCCAAATTACTAAATACGCCACCTGAGGTACAAGTAGACATCGATAATTAAGATGGTTGTACTGAAGTTTACTTACGATCCAGATGAAAAGTGAAATTTTCCGTTCAAATCCGCCGGAGAGCTCCCCTCACGATCGTGAACACGTGAATTTTCCGATTCGTGTTAATGTTTGAACGACGCGATGTCGTCTTCATGCCCACGTACATTCGATGGTTCCTGTATCCCGAGTACGATTCCGTTGCCGAGCGCGCGCCATGCATCAATTATGATGAGTAGAAAATTTCACTATCGATCTTGAGGGGAGCTCTCGGTATTGAATGGGAATTTTCACTTTTCACCCGGATTGTAAGTATAAACTTCAGTACAACTACAAGCACTGATCTTAATTATCGATGTCTACTTGTACCTCAGGTGGCGTATCTAGTAATTTGGAGGCCGTTTTGAGGTAAAATCTCATGTTTTTATTGGGCTATGTTGGGGTTTTTGGGTCAGTGACAGAATTGTGTTGCTGGGCATACAGCATTAGCTTGGACCCCACCAAACATGCCAGACCATGTCCGAATGTTAAAAATAAAAAGGCGATAAGTTGGGTCCAAGTTACTCGGACTAACAAACTTTTAAGTACTGTGTAAGTAAAGATAATGATAGTTTATCAGAATTTATCAACCAAAGATTCTGAGGCATTGACTTTGGACTTTTTAATAGTTTTGTTTTATTCAAGCACGCCACATTTACTGAGCCGATTTTGTGCCCAATTTCCGGACGCCACCGTTTTCAAAGTTGTATTTCTTAATTTAAAGACACTGAAATTGTTCACAAAGGTTCAACAAAAAGCATAATTAAAGTAACTAATAGTACCAGCATTTTAATGATGAAGTTGAAGTTCGTCAACAAAGAAATTTGGCAACCCTGTATGAAGAAAATCGGGGAAACGTCGTTGTGCCTTACGTTAACTCCAGCATACAGATAACACGTGCTGTCCGCCACAGGCATGTTTAACAAATGGTGGCGCTCTTCACAATTAAAGGCGTCAAGTCTATCCTCGTTCTCTTCTAGTCAAGCGGTACGCCCTCGCTGCTATAGTACTATTGGAAACAAATTGAAAGTAAAGTTCGCCCTGGGGACTATGGCCTGTGTCGTTCAGTACAATGGTAAAATCCTTATTAACGGTGGTTGTGAACTCTTTTGAAATAAGTTAACATTTTTGTCGGCAAAATTAAAAGTGTGCCCACGGAAAACGTCTTTTTTTTCGCACCACTTTACTGCTTGAATTGTTTTATAGTGTTTGATGTTCCCTTTCGCAATTTAATGTGGACTTCCTCATGATGACATCACGACCAAACATTGAGCCAAATTTTGAGTTCATAACACGTGGCGCTTTTGAAAATGTACCTCTTTAAGCCAGTGTGTTGTGTTTTCAACCAAATGAATTGACTTTAATTCGGATGAATTTTTCGCGCTGTCACCACTCTACTTCTCTAAGAGCATTAAATATAGTGTTTGATGTTCCCTGTTGAAATGTAATGCCCTTGTGACACAATTAAGCCTATTGAAATTAGAGGGTAGCTGTCTAAAATGAATTTAATATGATTAAAATAAATAGTGTGCTCATGAGAAAGCGTTGAACAACACAAATTATATCTGACTGAAACAATATAGTGTTTAAACGAAAAAAATATACAATCCGAATCAATTGTCATGGAAAATGGCAACATGATCCTCTTAAAAACGTAGAAAATTATGGCCGTTTCACTCTATTGAAAGTCGTTTGTTTCACTAGTTTACAAGGGCATAACCCCATACAGTTTACCTTCACACTTTTGTCAACTTAAGATTTCTGTTGAAAAGGGACGCGCCTGACAAAATAGTCTAGAACAAAAACAAATTTATGTGCCTTACTTTAATCCCACTTTAATCCCCCCCACCGTTAATTAAGAAGGGCGCCCTCAGAATGTAAGATGTCTACGTCAAACTAGAACTAGAGAGGGCGCCTGTCAAACTGGTCGATCGCGTAAACAAAAGTCATGAAACTTGAAAGTTGTGGATGGAACTCCTGATGAAGTTCAGCAAGAGCGAGAACGTTTTGAGAAAGAACGTTGCAACGTTGACTCACATTTTCTTCATATATCATGTCAATAAAGGTCAGTCATTGTAAAAATATTTTAAAAATATATGAATCTGGGACTGAAAATCATTTCCAATTTGGTTAAATTGAGAATCTTAATCTTGAGAATCTTCTTGAATTTCCGTAAACTTTGTCATGTTTGTACACAAACGCTGAATACTGCATTCTTTCCTTCCTTTTGTTTAGTATTTTGTGGAAAGAAGGGGGTAATCCTTACTATTAGGACACCTCTATTTTTTACAAGTTCTGTTCAAAGCTGACTTTTGCAGATGACTGTCCAGTACCAAAGTGACTTTTGCAGGCTAAAGCAGTCTTTTTTCTTCATATAAACTCATGTTAGTTGTAGTTTTGAAAGCACTTTCGGAGAAAATGTGACTTTCCTACCATGTTGTAGTTCTCACACGTGTGAAAGCCCTACATAATGTAAGCCCGAGCTGATTGGCTGCTAAAAAAAATAATTAGTCTGGTTCCCAGACCAAAAGATTCTGACTACTCCTGAATCTTTTGGTCTGGGAAAATCATCGCTCGATCATATGCGTGCACGTTTCAAGTGTCAGGTTGGCTCAGTGCGGAAAGGGCATATTTTTCATCGTTTTAGCCCCAAAAAAGACAAAATCCAGCGATGTTTGTTCTGCGCATATTTTGTGAGTATGTCATGAGGTGTGGTACGGAGTTTGGGGGCAAACTGTGCAGTGTTTCTGTGGGAAATTTCTGCATTTTGATGGACGTTTTTGTACTTAATTAGTGTTTTGTGCTGAAACCCATTTTGCGGGTTTTAGCTATGAGGCTCCACTACGTGGAGCCTCATAGTTCTAGGAGTAGCTGATTGGTACTCCTAGAACTATGTACGTGGAGCCTCATAGGCAGATTACCCCGCTAAACTGTTTGCTATACAAAACACCAACTAAGTACAAAAACGTCTAGCCCGACTGCGTCTGGCCGCACAGTAGGCTACTATCCCAAGCTCTGTAGTACGGCCCGACGCTCAATGCTTCCACACAGACTGAATTTTTTTTCCCCGCTGATGTAGCGATTTTGCTACAGATTTTGATCGAGATTATCTTCTTGTCCAGGACAGAAATATCCAAAGTTAAGGTTCCTAGTCGTAGAGGAACACATACCTTTTTAAAAAACGTTCTTTGATCCCAATATTTTGATCCATCTGGCCAAAAGACAACTTTTAGTCATCATCTTCCCCAAATATCGTCCTGAAGGGGCCGTATCATAAGTCCGACGCCTCATAGGTCCGACGCCTCATAAGTCCGAAATTTCGGACTTATGAGGCATCGGACTTATGAGGCATAAAATTTATTTATTCCGCCTCATTGGTCCGACGCCTCATAAGTCCGACGCCTCATAAGTCCGACAACGGAAAAACGAGGCGTTTAATTTGTCGGACTTACGAGGCGTCGGAGCTATGAGGCGTCGGACCTATGAGGCGTCGGACCTATGAGGCGTCGGACTTACGGGCCTTTATTTGGTTAGGGGATGCGATTCTGTCGGACCTATGAGGCGTCGGACCTATGAGGCGTCGGACTTATGAGCGGACCCCGTCCTGAAAATGTCCTCCATGCGATTTCAAAATGGTGGCCGCGTTGTAATGTATGCATTATGCGGGCGTGCTTGGGCAAGATAATGAATATGCATCATAGTTTATGACGTTTGTCGGGCGCGCGGCGCGGCTCGCCATACAAACACGAGGTCATGAACTAAATAATGCGTATTCATTATCTTGCCCAAGTGCGCCCGCATAATGCATACATTACAGCGCAGCCGCCATTTTGAAATCGCATGGGGGAGCATTTTCGGGACGATATTTGTGGAAGATGATGACTGAAAGTCGTCTTTTGGCCAGATGGATGAAAATATTGAGACCAAAGAACGTTTTTTCGAAAAGGTATGAGTTGCTCTACGACTAAGAACCTTAACTTTGGAAATTTGTGTCCTGGATGAAAAGGTCGGAGCGCGCCGTGGGGGGTACGTACTTGCACTTGTACGCATGCGCATATTATCGTTCCGCTCCTACCATACCACCGTACCCCCCGCGGCACGCTCCGAGCGATCGAAACGAAAATGACTGCGATCATTCTGCGCGCGTGCACATTTCAAGTGTCAGGTTGGCACAGTGCGGAAAGGGCATATTTTTCATCATTTTTGCCAAAAAAACGACAATACCACCGATGTTTGTTTGGTGCACATAACGTAAGTATGTCATGAGGTATTGTACAGAGTTTAGGGGCAAACTGTGCAGCGGTTCTGTGGGAAAAAGCTTGGTTGGGATGGACGTTTTTGTACTTAGTTGGTGTTTTGTATAGCAAACAGTTTAGCGGGGTAATCCTGGAGCCTCATAGTTCTAGGAGTAGCTGATTGGCTGATAAAAAAATTAATATTTTTTTAAATTTGTTAATTAGCCAATCAGCATCAGGCTTTCATTTTGTCTGGCTTGCACGTGTGTTGTGAGAAGTACAACATGCACGTTGTCTCTGATTGCCAAAAAAGATAGGAAAGTCACATTTTCTTTGAAAGTGCATTTCAAAAGTACAACATACATGAGTTAGTCTGAAGAAAAAAGATTGCCTGCAAAAGTCACTTTGGTACTGAACAGTCATTTAGAAAGTCATTTTTGAACGGAACTTGTAAAAAATAGAGGTGTCCTGAAGATAACAATAACCCAAGTCTCAGTACACAATGTACATGTAAGCCCCATCGGAGTTACAACTGCGCGTGTGCACATCACATGACAACAATGGTCTGTGGATAAACAAAGCGGAAAGACTTCCACACCCCACCTGGACATCACTTGACGCCCTTTGCAAAAAAAAAAAAAAATCCTATGAGACTCGGGTCTGAAGAATTGCAAATGTGGCCAATTTACTGGACTACCTCCGTCAATAAAGCCCACACTTGGAACAGTAAATGCTTCCATATTTCCCCGGCAAAATTTGACTTTTTAGGACATGACATTATCAGAAAAACAAGTGATGTCCATACATACATGTACAATATAATTCTTTCCTATGGCAAAAAAGAAGATGGAACTTTTGTTGGCACAAAAGTTGCAGCATAGACATCATGATCAATACAAAACATCTTAAACCATGGTGCACAAGCAACATTTTGCATCTGCTTCAAAACAAGACATTTCTTTGATTTCGTTGGTACCCTGCTATGATTTTGCATGCGTGTGGCGAGTTGTCCATCCACAGACCCTAATCGTTGTCATGTGATGTGCGCACATGCAGTTGTACGAAGGACATTTACTATTAAGTCAGGGAGCCAGACGATGCTATAACGATAGCAATTGCCGCAACAGTAGCCCCTGCATTGTTTTTAACATTTGGACATGATCTGGCGATAGTACTTACATGTACAATGTACATGGCGTTTCAAATAATTAACAACCCAACCAATTGCCAACAAAAACATCAGATTTTTTACCCTCAAAACGGCCGCAGAATTACTACATATGCCACCTGAGATACAATTACAGATTTATGATTTTAAGATCAAGATATTAAACGATACTTACAGTCTGGATGAAAGTGAAATACCATTTATGAATATCGGCTAGGGCTCCATTGCCAATATCACGCGGACATCATTTTCCAATTTTTCCTCCTTTCTTTTCCAATTTTAGTAAAGTATGGCGACAGGCGTCCAACATGACCTGATGAAGCAGGCACAGTGCTTTTGGTCAATGCTGGATGAGCTTGCAGAGACCGATGAAGATGCATACAGGAAGTTCATGGCCACAAACCTCCAAAGAGGACAGCAAGAATTGACACCGGCCAAGCCATGGATGTGCGTCAAGACCCGTATCATGGTAGGTTCACTTAGGCTGAAAATATGTGTGTGTTTACGGTAACATCCTAACAATTATCCAGGTTGGTAGGTAGGACAATTATTTTGTTTTCAACTTTCTTTATGTTTGTCTGTCAGTCTGTTTTACTTTTACTTTGGTTATTCTAGGGTACATACCCTTCACTGGTATTCTGTTTAATTAACCTGTTCAAATTGTTTAATTTATCAACACCAACAACATACCAAAAGACTCGCATAGGGGCAATTCTGTAAAATCCAACATACGTCGGACCCCATGATGTACATGTACAAGGTCGTTAAGGTGGTGGTACCTTAGTTGGGCCTGTAATTGTTTTCCACTCATTATATGTCACATTCTAGTCTCCCACGTACATATAAGAACAGGCTTCTCCTAATCTTTATCCCAATTTACGGACACATCTTTTTGTCCTTTTTGTTATAGTCTTCTTGGCTATAAAATGTTATCGTTGTTACTACACGGACCTTTGTCAGTGTACCATGGCGATGAGGACTCTCAGGATGTCGTCATGAAGTCTGAAAGTGATGATGATGCGTCACGTTCAGTGAGAACTAGAACTTTGCATTTCAAGTTCATTGATGCTTATGTGTAAAGATGAATGATAATGATTCTACATGATCCTAAATGTACACACATGTACATGTAGGTTTCTTCTACATGTACACACATACATGTACATGACAAAAGTTTCTTTCTGATCGAAGGCCAGGCGAAGTAATTTATTGCTAGAGATCGCCAATTACTAGAGATCCCCTTAAAAGAATAAAAAGGGGGGGGGGGGGGGACTGGACACCACATTATAGGGGCGCTCTTCAGGGTAAAGAAAAACATATGTCATGTTTATCAATATGTTATACTCGCTCTTACATTTTTAAAGCTTTTGTACTTTGTTTCTCCACTTTTCAATGCTATTGAATACATTTTAGTTGTTGGGTCATTCGGAAAATACCTCCAAATGCGCAGTTTTTTTCTCATCACAAAAAGGTGGGGGGGGGGATGATTCAATAGCCCATCCCCCTGGTTAAAAAGTAGGGGGGGGGATACACATATCCCCCCCCCCCCCCAGGAATTACGCCCCTGCCCATCGCCGTTTTGAAAAATGGTGCCTTTGCAAAATAAAGCAATTTTGGGGCCCAATTTCATGCGAATTTCACAGAAAATACAAGCTCACACGCCTGTGCATGGCTTCCACCCATCTTTTTTACAAACGTTCAAGTTCATGGCCCACAAAACGCTCTAACAGCAAAGAATACGAGGGCAAACAAATTGTGATTTGGCCGCTTAGACAATTCTGGGCCTACCATATTTTACAGGTCTGCACCCTTTGGGGAAAATGTAAACATTGGTTTTCTGGCTAAGTATACAACACAGTTTCCAAAAATGTATAGTTTTGCTAATCCCCACAAAATTTGAATGAAATTACAATAGATTGGGCCAAAAATAAAAATACTTCTGCTTCCAATTAAATAGGGTCGGTCGGTCAGAATTTTTTGTTTGCCAATTTTTTTAATGCTGATTGAATGGGGTATTTAATTATAAATATGCGAAGTTTGAGCCTGAACTATTTCCATTGCACTACGAATGCTTTACAAAAAAATGGCCACAAAAAGTGAATAAAACCTACCTTAAATATTGTCCACATATTTACTTTCGATAATTCTTTAATTCCATTATAAAATAATGTAAAATTCAGGTCGTGCGCACCATATGCACAACACTAGTCAAGATGGGGAACTGGCCAAATGTTTGTGTGTGATGCATGCACTGTGTGCATGTGTGGTGGGCGACAGACCTCTTTTTACGATAGAAAATTTCAGGGAAACACGCTGCATCATTTCACTTCAAATATGAGTAGTGCGATCTCAAAATGAACTCTTGAACTCGGATAATACATACATGTACACAGACAAGAGAGATCAAGTTCTGTGAGTTAACTTGCAAAAATGTTCTTTCTCCATCGGTGTTATCTTGGCATTTGTCAAATGTCGAATCCAACGATAGCCATGCACAGACTGGTAACCGCATTTTCATCATGTCTGTTAAATTGGCCCCTGCGTGGCGTGGCGCATTGAGCTAGCATTACTCACGTGTTTATCGTCACCGCGACATCAAATTGCGAAGTAGTTATCGCGAAGCAAATTTCTAAAAACAACAGAGGTTTCTTGTGAACAAAACTAGCGAATGTAAGTTAGAAAACAAATAAATACTTGACGCAAAAGGGTTGTTGAGAGGTATTTTGTGAAGACAGAAAAGACAACAAGATTTTTTTTTATTTATTCAATCATTAATTTTTAATTTTTTGGGGGATTTGCTGATAAATTTTTTAGGGTCGCAGCCTACAAATAGGGTCGATCGGGTAACCGGAATTTTTTTTTGGCCTTACCCCTGTGGTGTGTGCTGTAAGTTGTTATAACAAGCCAATCACTCATTATCAAAGAAAAACAGATTGAGTTTGCCTAGTAAAGAATTTTTCACGTAGGACAGGTGATGATGAGTACTCCATTCGAAATGAAATTAAGCACCTGCAATAGTCCCATATCGCCATTATTCCTTTTACCTGGTGTATACATACCGGTAAACATACATTATCCGTAAGCAGCGGGGCAGCACCAAATATGGGATTGTTTGTGGCAGCTTTTTCATTCGGTATTGTTGATAGAATTTGCATCAAGGTCTGTGAGAGTCAATGGTGGATGACCTGAGAATACAAACCAAATAAACGGGGTAGTGACGTTGGAATGAGGAACACTGAACTTGAATGGATTTTTCTCTGGCTCGTTGTAGTGTAGGTAAACATTTGTCGAGCACACCATTGTACAATCAACAATACATGTACAGGGGAAAGTCCAAGGTTTTGCCCTTTAATGTATAGCGTTGTGCATGTGTGTTATAATGCAGTATTGAACAAGTCCCTTTAATGTTGGGTTTGCTATTTATAACTGGGCAGACGGCGCTTTATTCCTGTAAACAATTGTATATATTCGCAACACAAAAAGTAGTGCCCGCCTTTGCCATGTTCGGGAAACATGTGTGCTAATTGGATGAGATGTTTTTGTTGATATAATTTATTATTGATCCCTTTTGAACGTTGTAAGGGGTAAATTGCACTTTTCATTATAACTACAACTATTTCATTGAGGAGTGATAATTTTACTCAGTGGGAGTGTTACATTCGCTCTCTCAATGTTTCCGTAGTTGACGTGTATCGGGGTTAACAATAGCTGAGGGTTACTGGCACTTTATTCCAGAAATTCACCTTTTCCGAAGAATGATAGGCATCTTATCTGGATGTTAAACGTAAGTGTATTGTTTATGCTTTCAGATAAAGTGCTTTAGGCCAAATGATTCGAGCATTTGGGGCATGAAAATGTGTGTTTTTCTGGCTACATTAATTTATGTAAACACGAATTGTGCATGTCATGCATATGTATGCAACCAACTCGTACCCACATTATTTGTTGCAGCATGTAGTGGCTAAAATAGAGTGAGAGCATGCTGGCTTGAGTTTTTTCATTCCTTTTTCATCTGGATTGTGCAGTGGATCCTGTAACAGTAGAGCACTATGGACAGTCATCACTGTTGCTGTTATCCAGTCACAGCCAGTTAATCTGATCATGAAACGAGCTGATCAATCCAAGATTAACTAATCCAAGACTGTTGAGAGCTTTATTTCCGAGAGGTACACACCCTCATTCCTGAGGTGGAGTTCACACCCCCTTCTTGGCAGGAGTCAACTCGCTCCTATTCCATGACATACATGTACAGTACATACATGTAGTCTGGGTATATCCAATTTAAAAATGTATTTCTCATTAACCTGTTTAATTGTTAACCAACAACACGCCAAAAGTCTCGCATTGGTACTATTTCGCAAAATCCAACGTATGTTGGATCACATGATGTACGTGTACAAGGTCGTTAAGGTGGTGGTACCTTAGTTTGGTCTGTAATTGTTTTCTTAACTCATTAGTTGTCAAATTATGATGTAGGCTATCACAATCACTTTTCCAACAGCAGCTCATTAAAGTGTCTGACATTTATGTCCAAATTTACGGAATTGCCCATGACAAAGTCCTTTTTTTTTTCAAAACATACCTTTGTTACAATGATACAAATTCAGCAAATGTTCAGTGAGGGATGCCAAACACAAACAGGTCAAGATATGAACGCGACCATGTACATTGAAATTTGAATGCACTTGCTGTGTAGTAGCCTCTTCAATGATATCCCTGTAATCCATGCACACATTTCGTTTTGTATTCTTTTAAAAGCATCTTCAAAGGTCTCATCTTTACTCCATATATCTTGTAAAGAACATCCGTCAGTTAAACATTACTTTTTTGGCCAAATTGATGAACATGATGAAAGACAAAATGGTTCATCTCAATGTTTTTTTTTCTGTATACCGATAGGCCTAGATGTATTTAGAAACTAATAATTAAAAAAATATATTTTCGCATAAAATATAAGCCTATTATCTCTGCCTTAAAAAGAAAAACTCACAGTAACACTAGCATTTTTCGTGTAAAAACAAGGTGCTGAATGACTACCCACAATCTATAATTTTAGCCACAAAAGCAGGGTTTTTTTGGACAAAAAACGCACTTACAGGTAACCATATTCCATCTTACTGCCAAATTGGTAACTCACACTCAACAGTTTGCCCCCTTTAATGTGATACCACAGATTAGCTTTTGATGCTTGTAGTTTTGAAGATGTCAATTTGTCATTTTCCGGTCATGTCCGTTTTCTCAAGGAATTACCCTTGGCCTTATTCATGTCAGTATTGGATCTGCGGGGGTGGGGGAGGGGGGTCAGTGGGTCTAAACCCCCCTTTTGGGCTGCACGAAAATGGGAAAAGCATGCAGTATTTGGACAGAAGGGCCCTTTTATAGTCAGTTGCACGATGTTCGCACGACTGAAACATTGACGCACAATCAACTTGTCGCTGTACTGTTTAAGTGTCCCCACTGTAAGATGATCTTGATTGTTCCTCTGAAAGTCCTTTTTCAATGAGAGAGTTCCCAACAAGTGTGCTGCACACAGAACTAGGCAGGTTGCTAGTGGATGTTGATGCTGTGGGTCGTGAGGTAGAGACGCAGAAGTGTCTTGGTCTTGGGTAGTCCAACTGGCTCTGTTGTCAATAGACGTAGTAGCCGTGGAAACCAATGCTGTGTTTTCCAGAAGGGGAGGATGAGCACTCCTGTCTATTTCTATCTTCTGTAAGATTCTGTCGATTAGAGAAAATGGCGGAAAACAATAAATTAGTTCATTTTCCCATGGCACTGAAAAGGCATCGCGAGTTCCTGCCTGTGGATCTGGCAGGTAAGAAATGAAAGATTTGATTTGTCAGTTTGTTCTAGAAGCAAACAGATCTATGTTCTGCACACTGCAGCCATATTCTCTCGATCAACTCTCATATTCTCTTAGTAGTTCTCTTGTTTGGGTAACTTTTGGCAAAATCATTTGATTTGTGATGGTTTCCAACTGAGGACATAGTGTCCTCTTATGTACAGTCAATTCTGTTGTTCATTGTCCTCAGTGCACACCATTGCACCCAAATGACTGTCCTTCAGAAGCACGTACAGTGTATATGTATTGTTTTTTTGTCTTGACAAGTTTAAAACTGAGTTGAAACTTCTTGTAAGTCAAAATTGATAACTTCAAATAGATTGAAAATTCTTGATCAGTATTTTTTATATAAAAAAGGGAAAGAAAACCGCAGTTAGTGTGTGAATTTTGAAGACCTTGGAGGAAAATGTTTTTTTTTACAATATAAAGGGCATTTATTTGAGGGTTAAAAAAAATGGAAATAAATGGATGCTGAGTTGTATGCGATTGTAATTTAACAAAGTGCAGCATGTACATGTAGATAGAATGCATGAACCTATCTAAGGTCCAAAACTCAAGTGTTGAGTAAACATGCACAAAGATGAACAGATGCAGACTGTACATGTATATGTGTAACTTATGCAGCCAAATTCAAGTGTCAAGTAAATATGTATGCAGATGAACAGATGCAGACTCCATGTGAATATGTAACTGATAAATACATGTATGCAGCAAAACAAAAATCCCAAGTTCTATATATAAACCATGTCACGCGACTTGATGACGATGCTGTGTTTGTCCAGTGCCATCTTTACCAAATCCGCCTCATCAAAAACTGTTCGTACTCTTTACATCAAAGTAGAAACATTTGTCGAGTGATTTTTGTGGGAATTATATAGAAGAGGTAAGAAAAAATTGTCAGTTTTTTTAAATAAGGTTAAAGGCTGGCTTACAAACGTAGGAATCACACTTTGCTTTAGACTGCAAAATGTGAAGTGTACAATGTACGTACCGGTACATGTACACAAAGTAATGCTTCAACAAAACCTACATGTAGTAATAAGAGTGGAAAGACTACGGTGATCTAAAATACATTTTGTCTATTTCAATATTTCAGAAGATAATTAAAGATGTATGTACTCTTCAAAATTTGAACAAGAATTCAAAAAAAGAAACCAGAGGTCTTTCTATGTCTGTTTAAAATCAGAACATATAGGTTTCTGCTCTCCGCATTATGATTTTTTATGAGGTTTTTTGGCAATGCGTAGTCATGTTATTGATAATTTCATGTATTAAATGCGTACACACTTTAAAGTTTTGCTTGTAGCCACAACAAAAGTTTAAACATTTATTAAGAATCAGTTGATGAGGTCATCTTTACGTCATTTCGAATTTTGCATACTAGTAATATTATCTGCCTTCCACCAAGTTTCATGACGATAAGATCTAAGAGTGCCCTGATATGTGTTTTAAAAAATAAAATTTTTAAATGATATCATGATGGCATCACACATTTTTGTGCAAATATTTATGACAGTACAAACCTATTACAAACAGAATTTTGAATTGTGTTGGTGAGATACATTGTATTATATATGGCGATAATCTTCAAAATTTCAGAAATGTATGATGAGCTTAAAAACACTGGCACAGTTTGTCTAACCACAAAAAAATATCTCAGTACTCAATTCAATCCAGAAATTATAGTTCAAAGTATTTTTCAACTTTTAATCGCTTGTAATTTGATGCCCGATGACGTCATGATGCTTTTTCCGCTCATTCTCGGACGCAAGGGTTCATTTTCTACAAACTTTTACCTTCATCCCTTGACCCGTTTCAAAGAAGGTGATTTTCATTTGATTTTGAGGACTGTCTATAACAATTTACATACTGTATATTTTTTAATTCACCTACTGTACATTGTGTATGTTTGAACTTTGCCTTTGCCAATCAAATACGTTTGTCGATGTAAAAGTCTATCAGATAACAAAGTACAAGCATGGATTGTACATTTGGTTCATGAGTTATAAGTAAATGAAAATCAGCATATTCTTCCTAATGATGTCACAATGAAGTTACTGTAGTAAATGTGCAAGGATGTGACTGCAGTGCTTGAGTTTCTATACGGAGAGAATTAGTACGGCAGATAGGTGATGGGTTTGCAAGTGCCTTTGATGATACAAGCATGGCATTTGATTGGCACACAGTCAGAGTATGTCTTAAGAAAGATATTTGGCTATAGGACCATCGCAGATTTGCCCTTTAAAAAAGGACAAATCTGCGATGGCCTTATAACATGTATAGCCAAATATCTTACTTTAGCACCCTGACTGTGTGCCAAATGCCATGCTTGTATCATCAAAGGCACAATTCCCCCAAATAGTTTCCGTATCTGCCCCACTAGATGGGGCGTTGCAGTCAACTCATAATAAGATCAAGGACCTCTCTGAAAAAGTGAATTCAAGATTTGCAATATTGAGGGATTACATTATTGAGAGAATTGCATAAATTGTGACTTTTGTCATTACGTAAAGAATTTGCATTTGAAATTCAAGGTGGTTAGCCTCACCAATCAGTTCCTTGGAATCGCCCTTGGGTTAGTAAAAGCCATCTGTAAAAGTGTAGTGTTTAGATAACAAAAACCTCTCACATGTAGCTCACTTATAGTTCACGCTTGTAACTTTTTTTTTAAGGAAGTTGACAAGAACAGAAATGGCAGAGTTTGGCTTTGATGATATTTACAAGATCGCTGGAATGGTTGGAGGAATTGGCGGCTTTCTGGTGGCCCTGTTGACAATGGGTTTTGTAATACGTAAGTGATGTTCTTACTGGTATAATCTCAGGATGGAACGTTATTGCCTTTCCATATTGTTCACTTGTTGACTCCCCTGGCCTCCCCCCCCCCCCCCTCCGAAGTGAATTCATGGCACGTCTGTAATCGTATAGGGTTGGAGAAGGAATGGAAATCTTCCCAAACCCTTTTGCCTTGAAACCAGATAATCAAATCGACACAAGATATTACAAGAAATAATATTGACACATGAAATTTCATGATTTCATGCAATTTAGTTTTGTCGTCTGCTGCACATTTTGTACATTTTTCTGATTTCATAATAAAACCGAGCTTTAATGTTCAATCAGTCATACCTGGCAAAATGGTCACTTTGATTATTAGACAGTGTAGTAGTTCACCGACAGTGTTGGTCTTGGAGCAAGACGTTCTTAATTCAGGATACTGAGACGGTACAGCCTTTGTACCGCGCATCACCACAAACCTGACTAGGGCAGCAAACCGCTCGCAAAGACGTTAATGGAAATCCTTTGCATGGCTTGTTAGTATTTGCGTAGCGCCCACTTTGGTAAATCGCTGCACAATTTGTTTCCCTGAAATACGAGATCCTTGAAAAGTAATGACACTTTTTTGTATTGTCATTGCAGATCAATACATTGAGAAACATCGCAGTCAACGCGAAGGTAAGGGGATATTTGGTATTTCAAAACGAAAAAAATATTAATGGAAATTGAAATATTAAAGAAAAATAACAGCTTTGCAGTTGAAACCTCTCAGCCGGAGTCAAGTTATCATCCAGAAACCATTGACCTTTAACTCACCACGGTGATCTTGACCTTTGACTGTTTGACCCCAAAACCAATCCCAACTTGCCTGTACCCAAGGGCAGCTTCCTACCGAAGTTAGACCCAAAATCTCATTTCTAACTCAACTTATCATTTGGAAACCATTAACCTTGGAGGTGACGTCATAGGACCATTGATGACGTCATCATGACATCACTTGTCTAGGGTTGGGCTCTATGTCTATGCGTAGTTTAAAGGCAATCTGATTGCAATTTATGTCAAATGTTGGTAGTAGAAGAAAATGTAAAAGGTTTAAAAATTAATTTAAAAAATCAGGTCAATGACGTCATCATGATGACTTCTGTATGCACATTAGTAACAGTATCTACTGTACGTACCCACAAAGTTTCAGTGATTTTGCCCTGTCAATTCAATCCTACAATATGTGTAAAGATTTCTTACCACCTCAACAAATTGTCTCTTTTAACTTAAGGCCCAAACAAAAAGTCTCCGTTTTCTGGTCTGCGCGTAGCCATGCGGGTCGGCAAGTTAAAAAGTTATTTTTCAATGTAAGATGATGTCTCAAAACTGCCATACTCAGTGGTTTGATTGGAATCCTGCTGCTGCACAATTTTAATGTGTTTTTAGATTGGGTTACAATTGAGTGCAAGCTTTATGTGGCCTCTCTGGGCTTCTATGTATTTTGCACTAAATCAAGTCGGGCAACATTTGCTGACGGTTTTGCAATTTCGTAATTGTGCGCCTGGAAGCCAGACTGTGGAAGCTATGGTCGTGTATCTGGAACATGTCAACGCTTTTTAATGAGTGCAATATGTAAGGGAGCAGACTAATGACCAGCCTGGCAGCTCATGCACAATGTCGATGTCGCTGTATGGTCTGACGTTACTGTTTTCTCTGATTTTTGTCTTGACTATCCAAATTTCCCAAGCAATGTTCGTGGCGATCGAGATCGTAAGTGGGTGCAGATTTCTCAAGCCTTATGGCCTTACTGAGGTCACCTCAAGCGCAACTCTGAAGGATATTTTTTAGAGTTTTAAGGGGATTGAAGCGTCATCTGCAACATCAGCCGACATATGAAGAAAAAAAAATTGGGAAAAAAAAACGTTTCGCCGCACTACTTTTGGGACAAGCTCCATACCAGAAACCGGAGACTTTTCTTTTTTGGCCTAAGATATGCTTAGAAGTACGATTAGTACCAGTGTTGCACAAAACGGTTCGCTAACAGTTCACTCCCGCAAATTGTTGAAATTTTGAATTCTTTGTAACCAATTTTATTCTCATTCTTTTTAATAGTTTGCCCACATACTTGTAAATATTTTTATTTTAATGTAAGTATTTTAATATTTGGTTTTTGTTTTACTATCTCTGTTTTTTAAAATTCATATATGATTTTCACACGTACAAATTTAAGTTTTTAAATGTGAGACATGTTTTTAATCAACCATTGATACATTGGAGAGTTGATAGCTTCTGATTGGTCGAGACTCGATCATGTGGGGGTGTATTAACATGTGATGTAAAGACCGGCTTAAAAACAAGCGTTGATCCAGCATTATGTAAGCCAATGATTGGCCAAATATGCAACAGTCTTTCTGCAAACTTTTTATAATACAGCAGTACACATGCACTCAACCACCATCGTGTGAAGACTTCCACGCGCCGATGCATCACATATGCTATACACGGGCGCGGGCGCATAATAAGTCTTAACACGACATGTTCATATACTAAGGATGTTTACAACGAAAGCACGGATCTGTGATTTATTTTTCAGTAAACACGTCTCCCATGGACATATTTACTGTTTTTAAAATGAGCATCTTTGTAATTTTGGACACAAGGAGTATGTAAACTAAGTTTTAGCTTCCTCCGTCAGGTGAAACTAAAAATATGAAACAAACATTGTTGTAATTTTGTTCGCTATGGCAGCAGAAGTTCACACCGTGGACATCAGTTGTAATGCAATGAACTACATGTATGTGGTCCACCCTGGGCCGGTAAGGGTGATATTAATAATGAAGAGACAGGGTATCATGCATAAAACTAAAATATGGCCCCTGAACATGAACACATAAAGTCTGGAAATATCGCCGAAAGGAAAGTCACAAATTCAGAGCATTTTACATGTAACTGTTTATTTTGGCTCGGTCGATTAACAGCGGCCATCCCCCAACCTGGTCATTATCACCAGGTGAAGACCGGTCCTCACACTGTTATACCCTAATTATTGAATTGAAGTGAATTGAAGGATATTTTAATTCTTGCTTTGATTGGAGATAACCTACAAAGAAGTGGAGCCAGCATAGGAAGCATGGGCACAATCAGCGGTAGCCACGACCCTATCATTGTTGGTGCAAGTGGAGTTAATATCACTTACAACTCGCCGTTGAAGGGGCCAGGTAAATATAATCTTGTTCGATACGATAAAGTTGTTTTATATCTTAAATAAAGTGTTAATGTATTGGGGGGGGACAGGGGAAGGATGGTGTACCGTTTGAGCATATTATGTGTTGAACATAGTTCCATGACTTATTTAGCTGTTCTTGTAGTTCTCCAGACATAAGACTTTAATATATTGTGGCGGTCTCGTGTCGACGATGCCTTGGATATTGCTCTCTGCCAACCCGACGAGCGGCTATGGGGAAGGCCAGGGGAACAGGTCCGTTTGGGGGCAGTCTACCGCCAGGCGCTCAGGGAACACACTCACTCGCGCTCTCACGCAAACCTCACGAACACACTCGGGGAAGGGTTAACGTCCAATGAATAGATCAGACACTCGGGTATTTAGGGCTTCACTGCTTTATTATAACTACTTGGAGACCCAATAAGATGCGTCCTACTTAGGTGTGTCCTACTTAGGTGTGTCCTACTTAGGTGTGTCCTGCTCAATTGTAAGAATTGGCCCCTTTCCAATAATCGTCAAGAACTGGAATGCTTCCCGTACCAACCAGATTTCCTAATCCCTACACTCACCGGAATTAGTGCTCTTCCTGAGTGAGAGACTGACCACAGCTGTACTACACATGCTCCAGCAACTCCAAGTCTCTGAGCGGGAACTGTGCTACGCTTCGCGCCATAATTAACAGCTATAGCACACAACGTGAGCAGTGCAATGGGAGAGTGCAATCCATGGACGAGTGAAATGGAAGAGAGTAAGTGCGCGCGCGACACGCGCTTATATAACCGCGCTGGGTACCAACCAGCCACGCTACTCGCGCGCTGTACAACGGACAGAAGTCCGCGTACCAACCAACTAAACTACGGTGAACCTAGCGCGCCAATATTAACTGTTCCGCTACACAGCCGCGCCCCAGGTTTGGTCAGTCCCTTGACCTTAAAAACTGGTAACAATAAAGGAACAGTTATAAAAACTATAACTCCTAACAAGGTGCTCTGCCACCTTTGGCTAACTTAAATAAAGTTTAACTTAATAACAGTCAAAAAATGTCTCATCTGGAATCCTTGTACAAAATAATTTGCTGACCTACTCAGGTCCTTATACAAAATAATGGTTCGACCTACCTAGGTCCTTATACAAAACTCTCCTTTAGTTTACAAGAAACCAAAACTTTATCAAAACGAAACTTTATATAAAACAGTTCAAAATGCCTCTTCTATTACAAACTTGAACAAGTGTTTAACAAATGTTACCAAAAAAGATCCTCAACAGTTCAACAAACAGTTCAACAAAGCCTCTTTAGGTAGACGTTATCCTTATAGCTTCTATAGGATCCTGTGCAACTCCAGCCAGGAAGTCCACGTCGTAGGTGCGCTGTAGTTTGTCCTTGGTCACTTTGTTGCCTTCATGGTACACCTGTCGTGTAGTAGTCTCCATCACGCGGTTGACTCTACCCATCATGGCACCGATGAGATCCTCATCCGAATAAGGTGTGCCGACTGAATCACCATCGGTCTTCATCAACCTGCATAGGCGACCTTCTCCCTGTGATGTTGGACTTGGTGAGGTTTGTTGCTCTGTCGACCTCTTTGCCTTTAGGTGTCTCAAGTAAACGACATCATACTCACGTGTCGTCGAGCCTTGGAGTGTCTTGTCTCCATCTCTGTACAGGTAGGTTTCCTTAACCTTCTTGATCCGGACTGCCTGTCCCGGTAGCAGCCTGTCTAGGTGCAGTGGTGTTGACATGATTGGAATGTTCTCTCCCCCCTTAGCAGTGGTTTCCTGACCATCGCGTCGTTTGGCCTCATCCCTCATCAACTCTATCATCGCTCGCGGCTTCCCTCTCGGCGGCATGCCTGGCTCCTCATGGCTGTGGGGCTCCTCTAAATCCATCATCAGCGGAGGGGTAGGCGACAGTGTGATCTCTGGGAGCTCTCCACTCCCGCTGTCACCTAAGATTGCTGCTATTTCCAGCTCCACAGCAACATCTGGTACTTCAACTACTTCCGGCCCCTTCGCTTCTCCTTTCGCCCCCATCTCTGGTGCTACGTTTAAAGCTGACGGCGTCTGAAGAGTAGAGCTCGGCCTTGGCTCATCAGGCTCATCGCGAACACTGGTACTGCTTCGTACCTCCTCCTCCTCGGGTGCACGTGAAACTGTCGATGGCGCCTTCTTCTCTTTGGGACGCTTCCTAGTCACTTCTTCCTCACCTTTCTTGTCCCGGCTACGCTTCTTTGTAGCGGCAGTAGGTCCACTCTCGCTCCGTCCAGCAGAACGCGACTTGACCTCTGGTTGGGAACCTGGTTCACCCTGTTTACCTTTAGGTGACTTTTTGCCTCCTAGGCGATGCCTTTCTGCCTCGCTCCTGGTACGCGCCTCACGCTCCCTGTCCTCATAGGACTCAGCCTTGATCCCATTTACCTCAGCCAGGCAGGACGGATGACAATCTTTATAATGATTCAGGAGATTATCCCGCCGATTGTTCTTGTGTGAACACTGCCGGCACCAATAAAACACTCGTGGCCCATGCTCCACTGTCAGATGTCAGTCCAGACTCCTCCGATGTAGAAACACACTGTGGCATCTCGGACAGTCTATTGTCTTCGCCTCGTCTAGGTCCAGTGGAGTCCTCTTTGCTTGCGAGTCTCGACCCATGTTTATCTCCTGACAAATGATGAAAAGAAATGAATCTCGTTAGTGTCTCATGACTAGTTAAGGAAATGGCTCGGGCATTCTGTAGCACGCTCACACACGCATTCAGTCAAACGCATGGGTTCCCCTCACAGCCTGGCCTGTATAGGTTCATGCCCCCGGCTGTTCCCGCACAACCTTACAAATAGCGTTGTGGCCTTCGCCTGTGTCTAGGTGGGTTTCTTCTCCCCGCAGGCGTAGGTGTCCTGTCCTGGTCTCTATGTGTCGTTACTGTAACATCGTTTCCCTAGGTGTATCTTGCGTCTCTCCATCCATGTCTTGTGATTCTCCGACTAACTCCGCAGGTACATCAAATCGGATGTCTTCTTGATCTTGAGCTTCTGCAACGGTCTCTTCATCTTGTCTCGGCGGTTGACAGGGCGACTCTGCCGTCCATGGTTTTAGCGGCCGACCTTGGTAAGGTTTAAGTCGATCAAAGTGGACGACCTTTTTCCTACCTCTTGGCTTTTGCTGAATTCTTTACGTGACATCTGATAGCTTTTGCAGTATCAGGTAGGGCCCTTCCCATCGTCGTTGTAACTTTGGCGATAGGCCCTTTGTCTTGCTTGGGTTGTGTAGCCACACGAATTCTCCTGTCTTCAGTTTGGCTCCTATCGTTTTCTGATCGTAGCACTTCTTCTGTCTCCTTGCACTACATTTGAGTACTTCCCTTGCCCGCTCGTGGGCTAACTGCATATCTTCTCTCAATTGAAGAGCATAGTCTGTTTCTTCGCTAACTTCACCATCCTTTGCAGTAACTCGAGTAGTCAAATCGAGCGGCAGGTACAATTCTCTGCCTAACATGAGCATGTTAGGTGTCTCACCGGTTGACTCATGAGGCGTTGAACGGTAGGCGAATGTAGCTAGCATCACCTTCTGGTCCCAATCACGTTGCCGTTTGTGAGGATCAATCATAAGGGAGACCATACTCAACAAAGTCCTGTTAAAACGTTCAATCATCCCGTCGGATTTCGGGTTATACATTTTCGGGTATAGACATTCGATTCAAAATTCCGCCCCTGGTCCGAGTGTAACTCTGTCGGAACGCCAAATCTGCTCACAAATTCCGATACAAACTTCTGGGCCACAGTCTCTGCTTTCTGATCCGGGATCGGGTATGCTTCGACCCATTTACTGAGGTAGTCTCCTACTACCAGCACGTATCGATTACCTCACTCTGTCTCAGGGAGCGGTCCAAGTATGTCGAGTGCCACTCGCTGCATCGGGGCGCCTACAGCATACTGCTGCAACGGTGCTCTTCTTGTTCTTGCAGGTGACTTCTTTGTTGCGCACAGGTTGCATTGTCTCACGGAAGACCTTACATCAGCGCTCAACCCGACCCAATAAAACCTATGGCGCACCTTCGCCAATGTTTTCCTCTGTCCCAAGTGACCTCCAGTCTCACCACCATGGAGTTCCTGTACAATCTCTTCACGGTGTGGCTTGGGTATGATGACTTGATACTCGATTACGTGGCCTTCATCGGATTCCCATCTCCTACATAGGAGTCCGTCTCTAACTTCAAGTTGGTCCCAAAGCAACCAGTACGTCTTCACTGCAGGCGATGCTGGCGTCATTTCTGCCCATGCTGGCCTCTCACCAGAACCAAGTTTCGCCTTCAGAATCCAACCTAGTGTCTGATCCTCCTGCTGGGCCTTTCCCAATAACTCCTGTGTCACTGTAGGTTCCATAGCCACGATTCGCACCGTAGGTGAATTTCCTTCTTTTGAAGTCTTCATTGTCTCTTTCTCCTCATGCCCCTGCTGCCAACTCTTTGCCCTCTCGGCCACATTGAGTACATGGTCGCCTCGAAAGCCCATCTGCGTTCCCGTGGGACCTTCCAGCACGATGAACTATGGTGAAATCATATTCGCTCACCACCTGCAACCAACGGGCGATCTGTCCCTGTGGGTCACGAAAGTTTAACAGCCATCGGAGTGCTCCATGGTCCGTCCGGATGGTGATTTTTCTCCCGTACACGTAGGAACGAAATTGTTTCAGGAATACAACTACGGCGAGAAGCTCCCTACGTGTTACACAATAATTTCTTTCTGGCTTGCTAAGGACTCTGCTACCGTATGCAATAACCCTTTCCTGACCATCGACGACCTGTGAAAGGACAGCGCCTATACCGACGTTGCTCGCATCTGTGTCGAGTACATAATGTTCCTCTGGACTGGGATACGCTAAGATAGGTGCTTCCTGTAGAAGTTTCTTCAGCATTTGAAACGCATTCTCGGTCTGGTCGTCCCATTCGAACTGTCTCCCCTTTTCTCTCAGGCGGTGCAGTGGCCGAGCTATGTCGGCGAACCCTTTCACAAAATGCCTGTAGTATGACGCTAGACCTAAAAAGCTCTGCACCTCAGTAACTGGTGTAAGTGTAGGCCACTCACGCACTGCCCTGATCTTCTCTGGATCTGTCGCTATGCCTTGACTAGACACAATGTGTCCAAGGTACAAGACCTGCCTCCGAAACAGTTCACACTTCTTCGGCTTTAACTTCAAACCAGCATCGCGTAGGCGTTGGAACACCACCTTCAAGCGTCTCAGTTTATCCTCCACTGTCTTGGCAAATATGATAATGTCGTCGAAGTACACCAGTAGAATGTCCCACTGTAGGCCTGCAAGCACTTGCTCCATCAGCCTCTCAAAGGTCGAGGGCGCATTGCAGAGGCCGAATGGCATAACTCGCCAACAGTAGAGACCTCCCCGTACGACAAATGCCGACTTCTGCCGCGCCTCGTCGTCTAACTCCACCTGCCAATATCCTGCAGCTAGGTCCAAAGTGGAGAACCACTTCGCGCCTTCCAAGGTATCCAATGAGTCGTCGATGCGCGGTATCGGATACGCATCCTTTATCGTCAGAGAATTTAGGCGGCGGTAATCTATACAAAACCTCCTCGTCCCGTCCTTTTTCTTTACAAGTACAACATTTGCGGCCCAATGACTGTCACATGGCTCGATTCTTCCATCTTCAAGAAGACTTTTCACCTGTCGGGTTATTTCTTCTTGCTCCACGGTCGGATATCTTCTGGGCCTTTGCTTTACAGGCACTGCATCACCGGTATTGATGTGGTGCTTGACCCAGTCTGTACGGCCTATGTCCCGATCTCCCTTAGAGAAGACGTCTTGGTAGTCCCTCAATAACTTCGCGTTATCACTATGGTGCTCCTGATCAACCTCCGTCTTACACCGATTAAACAGATCAACAAGGTGCTCGGGCACATCTAGTCGGGCCGCTTTTTGTGACTCCACATCTCGTGTGCTTTCAATCTCCTTCTCACCTACAGGTGTGAGGTAACCCGCCATAGTTCCCCTATGAACTACACACTCTCTCTTGCCTGGATTGAAAACTCTAACCGGTAACACCTCTTGATCAGCATCAACTACTGCTCGGGCAATGATCATCCCCTTGTTCGCAATCTCGCTGCGGTCGACTGGCTCTAGAATTCCAAGACCGTTATGCTTCGCTTTTCCACTAACATGTCCCTGCAAGATTGCCTCATGTCCAGGTGGCACTCTGGTCGTCCGTCCAACGACTATCCTCGCACAGAATGCTGCTCCATAATCATCGCTGCATTTCACCCTTTCTCCATTTACTGTGAGCTCAAGTGTCCTAAAGTTGAGTGACCCGCATGTTGGGTACAAAAAATCCATACCCAGGATTCCATCCATAGAGTGTAAATTTCCGAAGGTCGCGTACACTGGATGTGTCGTTCTTCCCACCTGTAACTCCACCCAGACGCTACCTAACGTCACTATCCGCGAACCATCAGCATTTTTAATGCACGAACCCTCATTAGAAAGATGAGGCCTATTCTCAGGTGAGATCTTGTGGTAGAGAGTAGATGACAGAAACGTGTCTGTTGCCCCGGTGTCCACCAGAAGCTTCGCCTGCTGTCCCCTCACCACTGCTGGTACAAACATGCCCCTTTTCACTCTTTCTGCTGTTGCAATTGAATTGGTAATTACATGACCCTTGTCTACTGGTTTGTCTCGTGGAAGACGGTCTTGTGGCCCTCTTGTCCTCCCAGCTTTCCCTCGGGCCCTGGGGTCAGCTGCGATCCGTTTCCCGACCCGTGTCTCTTTGCTGGCGGCCATTTACAGTCACGAGCGAAATGTCCTTTCCTCTCGCACTTGAAGCACACAATGTCCTCTCTAGGTCGTCTCCTGAAGGAGGTACTCGGAACGCCTTCTTTCATGTTTGGCTTGTCGTTCCATGCACCTGTAGGTCTCCCTTGCACCAGGTTAGCCACCCATGCTTTTGTCTCTTCTTGAGCTCTTTGTATGGCCTCTGCCATCCGTTTCTGGCTATTTCTTACGAAATCTTCCAGCTTTTCCACCGAAGAGTCATTTTGTCCCTCTAGTACTCGTACTTGCTTTGGGTTGCGATTGGGCCTCTGTTGTTCCACCTTGAGGAAACTCTCTGTCGCCATTGCTGCCCTTATAGCCTCATCGAGTGTCTTTGGCTGTGTCCTGAAGATTCCTTCACGGATGGCCTGGTCCTCTATCGCGTCCGAAAAGTGACCTCTCGCTAGGCGATCCTTCCCTTCGTCTGCTATCTCAGGATATGCCAGCGTGGTCAACTCCCTGATTGACTGACCTAGCTCCCTCAGTGTTTCCTTTGGTCCCTGTCGTCTGCAACGCAGCTCCATCAAGTGGTTTTCCGACAATTGGCCCGGTCCGAATCTCCTCTCCAGCCTGTCTTTTAATTCTTTATACGTCATCGTTTGACTACCATCCGGACTGTTTGATAGCACCTTCACCGCTATCCCCTGCAAGCTCGCAGCCAAGAAGACTTTAGCTTGTTCGTCCGTCCACCCGTTAGCGAGTTTGCACGCTTCAAAATGCTGCCAAAAATCCCTCCATACAGTCTTGCCGTTGTACCGATCTGGTACGATATTAGGTCGCTTCAACTCTGCAGGCGAACGGCCTTCTCTCTTCAATTCAACCACCGGCTCTCGCCTATCTAGGCTAGACCTGTCCTCGCCTGAAACTTGCTTTTCTGGCTCTGATGCTCTTCCGGCTGCACCTGCTGAGAAATTGTTCTCCATTGACCACCCTTTTTCTGTATCAGCATTACTCTTGATTTCTTGATGGGACGCTACTACCGATGTCGAAGATGTGACTGGTGTATTTGTAGGTACCAGTAATGAAGACGATAGTTTAGGATCCCTGGTTCTGGGTTTTGGCGTAGGTCTGCACCTTGGCATAGGTGTTGACGATGATATTAGGCTACTTGATGCATCTCTTACAGTGTCAAGGTATCTGAAACTCGTTGTCGGTAACTCCACTTGGGCACCTGCCTCTGCATCCACCTGCCGACTTTCAAGTCGCACCCTTCTCGTCTCCAGTTTGTCTAGCTGTTCATGGAGTTGACCCAATTTTGCCCAGAGCCTCTCAGTCTCAACTTCTAGGCGTTGTTGCTCCTCCGCGTACTGGGAAGTTTCAGCCGCGTCCTCGGTCAGTTCCTCTATTAGTACCGGTCTAGGTTGGTTTGCTTGTTTCTTGTCCATGACGTACGCCTATCTGGGTGACTCTGTCCTAGGTAGGTGATTGTTTGCTCGTAGTTCTTGATGGGTTCTGTGTTGTGTAATCCTGGCGCCTATCCCAATTCTGACACCATTTGTGGCAGTCTCGTGTCGACGATGCCTTGGATATTGCTCTCTGCCGACCCGACGAGCGGCTGTGGGAAAGGCCAGGGGAACAGGTCCGTTTTGGGGCAGTCTCCCGCCAGGCGCTCAGGGAACACACTCACTCGCGCTCTCACACAAACCTCACGAACACGCTCGGGGAAGGGTTAACGTCCAATGAATAGATCAGACACTCGGGTATTTAGGGCTTCACTGCTTTATTATAACCACTTGGAGACCCAATAAGATGCGTCCTACTTAGGTGCGTCCTACTTAGGTGTGTTCTACTTAGGTGTGTCCTACTTAGGTGTGTCCTGCTAACTTGTAAGAATTGGCCCCTTTCCAATAATCGTCAAGAACTGGAATGCTTCCCGTACCAACCAGATTTCCTAATCCCTACACTCACCGGAACTAGTGCTCTTCCTGAGTGAGAGACTGACCACAGCTGTACTACACACGCTCCAGCAACTCCAAGTCTCTGAGCTGGAACTGTGCTACGCTTCGCGCCACAATTAACAGCTAAAGCACACAACGTGAGCCGTGCAATGGGAGAGTGCAATCCATGGACGAGTGAAATGGAAGAGAGTAAGTGCGCGCGCGACACGCGCTTATATACCCGCGCTGGGTACCAACCAGCCACGCTACTCGCGCGCTGTACAACGGACAGAAGTCCGCGTACCAATCATCTAAACTACGGTGAACCTAGCGCGCCAATATTAACTGTTCCGCTACAATATGCACCTTTAGGATTTATACGTATCAGGACCCAAGATGACATCATCATGAAGTCACCCAGTTTTTGTCTTCAGCATGTCCCTGTATAAATGTTCATATACATTTATCTTCAAGTAAACTTGAATCCTCGATCCTGATTGGTCGATCCATAGCAACAAGCCGTGCTACATATATATAACCATGTAGCACAGCCACGGTCCATACTGCACTCCGCGCATTGCGCTATTCTAAGATGCATGCGCCATTCCGTACAAACACGCAAGTGTAATAGGATAACCGCTGAAAGGTTTTCAGTGCGTCAAGTTTGCTTGAAGATAAATTAGTTATCACGCTCGCGCTCGTGGAACACGGAAAATGTAGTGCGTCTGTGTCCAACATACAGTTCTCTAGATAAAAAATAGTAAAATAGACACCTTTAAGCTGTCATAATACCATTGATGACGTCATCATGACATCACTTGTCTAGGGCCAACCTAACTTTGGAGTCTTTGTGCGTAGTTTGAAGTCAATTTGATTGCATTTCGTGTCAAATTTGCTAATAGAATGAAATGTAAAACCTTTAAAAATTAAAAAAAAAAAAATGTCAGGTGATGACGTCATCATGAAGTCGCTTTGGTATTTGCATATTATTAACAGTATCTACCAAGCTGCCCACCAAGTTTCAGTGATTTTGCCCTGTCACAACAAACATGCCTTGCTTCCGAGCTGCAGGAGTCAAGCATGGGAACTGTCTCCAGGAACTGTCTCCGAAAACGTGCAAGACTTTGCAAGTGCAATATATACAAATGTATACAGTGTAAGCCACTTCCAGCCGATGAGTGTGGCTTAGAAAATGCTTTGTAATTCATCACGTGTGGGTCAAAATGATTATGCAAAAAAAGGTAAACGGTTACTCGACTGGGAAATCCCCAGATCTCCACATTAAACATGATAACTTTCTGTTCAATGTTCACAATTCCTTTATTATAAAACCAAAGTTTGAAAAGAGATTGGAAAAAAAATAATGGCTCAAAATATAATTTTCATTACTCATTCCATGCGCAACTTACTTAGCCTACGTTTTACTGTAAAATCAAACCTTTGATAAACAAATTTAGGTCTGGTATTTTTCAGTTTGCTTTCCCCTCTTTTTTTTGGGGGGGGGAGATGGGCTGGTGTTGAGAAAGGTACATGCAGGTCCTATGCATCCATAAATATGCTCAGGAATTTACAGGCACTGAGGACTGAAAAGCGGGTCCACACCCTGAAGATGAAACTTCTTGTGATAATACAACGAGACTTGAAAGTGAGCTTGAAACACCGCTCAGCTTTCTGCTGTGTGATTTACCACCAGCAAAAGTTCGTCATTTTATCATCCCGTTTGTGGCGTGATCAAAATTTCTGCGTGGACTTCATTACAGAGTGAATAGAGAATGGCTATTGCGCGCAATGTCAACCTTTAATACTGTGAAATCTTCAAACCTCAAGGGAACAGGCTCAACATTTGACTTAAGCAGAGTTTTGAGTTACATGTAAGCAGGGTTGTAAATCATTGTTATACTACTGAAAGCAATGGATTCTTTGTTTACGAAACAGTTGTTTTTAGTTATCAGAGTTTGACTTATCCAGATTTCACTGCATTGTGATCTCAGGGATGCCAAATTAAAGGGCCCATGTAATGTAATTGTGTTTTAATGCAATCCTTGAAAATGCACCTTTGTGTCCCATTTAACCTCATTTTCTTTTTTGCTGTTTTAAGGGGTAATTTGGTGTTTTTTTGTTTTATGCTAATCCAAATTGTGTTACAGCTATTTCAGCTTGAACAAATTGCTAGAATTTTTGATATTTTGTGGTGAAACTCTTCTTTGGCTGTTCGCCATTGTAAGCCAGTGAGTTACCTTTTCTCACAAATGTTTTCATTGAGCAAATTATGGGTGCTTGAAAACTCCTAAACGGAACAGTTTTAAGTGTTTAAAGAAGTGCGCTTTTCAATAAGATTAGCCAAAAAGGGATCTCAAATAGTTTTCATACATTTAAGGGAGTAGAAAGTTGCACAAATTGTGTGTCTAAAACAATTCATCGCATAGACCCTTTTAACAGAAAATCTGGATACGTTAATTTTGATCCCTGGTAAAGTTTCTCAGTGTACATTTTACTGCATGTAATTGGAAACTTAAACCAATTGGATACATCACGGAATTTAGAAAAAACAAGTCAGGTGTGTTTACAAACACAAATGCCCCGCAACCGTGACTGTTCCCATGACATAACACCTCTCTTTTAACATCAACTTATGTACCTTGGTCACATGGAACGTTCATTGACAGCATTAGTGTCTTATGTAGGTTTTATATGAATTATTCCCTAACTAATCCCTTTGATCTCAGAATAAATACAAGATTTCTATTGTTTTAGCCACTGTGACCTTGACCCTTGACCTTTCGTCCCCCAATGCAATATACCTATTTGGATTACCAAAAACGATCCACAAACCAAATTTGACGTTCACATGTAAAGTATTTCTCAAGTTATCGCGCTGACAAAATTCCTTTTGTTTTAGCCACTGTAACCTTGACCCTTGACCTTTTGGCCCCCAATGCAAAAGGCTTCTTAGGATTGCCAAGGACAATCCACAAACCAAATTTGAAGTTCACATGTAAAGTATTTCTCACATTATCGCGCTGACAAAATTCCTTTTGTTTTAGCCACTGTAACCTTGACCCTTGACCTTTTGGCCCCCAATGCAAAAGGCTTCTTAGGATTGCCAAGAACAATACACAAACCAAATTTGAAGTTCATATGTGTAGAGTATTTCTCAAGTTATCGCACTGACAAAATTTCTTTTGTTTTAGTCACTGTGACCTTGACCCTTGATCTTTCGGCCCCAAATGCAGAAGGGTTCTTAGGATTACCAAGAACACTACACAAACCAAATTTGAAGTTCATATGTTAAGTATTTCTCAAGTTATCGCGCTGACAAGATTTGTCCGGACACACACACACACATTCACACACCCACACACCCAGACTTGTTTCACATACCTAGTGTGGACTTTCCTTTCTTTTCGTGTAGTTAAGGAACACCAGTGGAAAAACTCATTTTTCTCAAACTGTGAAAACTCTTACAACCCAATTTTTTTCAATGATTCCCTTTAGTGTTTCTCTTCATTCTGCTACAGATAAACCTAACCCAAAAATGCCTCTAAACCTGTTTTCCAGAAATGGGGAAACACTGTGTGGACGTGGGCAAGTCCACACTTCGTCGCTGCTACCTACATTATGTGGACGTCTTTTGTTCGGAAGTCCACACTGCGTATGTAAGACAAGCTCACCCCCACACACCCCCACACACACCCACCCACCCACGGAAGGACAAGGCGGAAACAGTATGCCCCTTCGGCTTCGCCGCGGGGCATAATAAATAAAACTGTTTGCAGAAGGAAACAATATGTCGAAATATTGACATGCAGATTGTTCGGTTTTGACGAAAGAATTGTTATGATTCATGTTCATGTATACTCAAATTGTTTACTCATAATGATTTTATGATTTCTTTCAGAAATCACCGGACTTCAGGGGCCGTATACCTTTGAGTGTTTGCAGCAGCAAATAATGGACAGCTACATGTACAAGCAAATTGCAACGACTATTCCTGCACACCCTGTGCTGCAGTCACGTAATGTGGGTATTGAGGAATTCTTTGTTCCTCTGCAACTCATAAAGAACATTCCAGGCAAAACAGAGTCAAAAAGGTTGGTGACATTACCAGAGGGAAAAATATTCTTGGACGAAATGCAATTCATTGCTCTCGATTCCTTGGATGATTTGTTTAATCCAGAAATAGTTAAGGAAATCAAGATTCTTCTTTTTGGCGGGGCCGGGACGGGTAAATCAACCCTGTTAGTGAAAATTGCAAACTCTTGCATTACACTCAGTTCAAAACCCCTTCTTGGTAGATTCGATCTTGTGCTTTGGATAAAGCTGAGGCAAATGCAGCAATCTAGTTGTGTCTTGGATGCCATATTTGACCAACTTCTAGCTCAAAGTACCAAGCTGACAAAACACATAGTGAAAGAGTTCATTGATGATCATGAATCACGCATTGCTTTGCTGTTGGATGGATTAGATGAAATTCCGTCTCATGTTTTACAATCTAAGGAGGGCGTGTACAGGGTTCAGGATATCTTATGCAACAGAGTCCTTACTAAAAGTTTTGTGCTGATCACAACCCGACCACACATGGTGGAGTATGTACTCAGGGGTCACCCAAAATACGCTCAAGTTTACACATGTGGCTTCACATCACAAGACAGAGATCAGTACATCAGATTAAACCTTCCTGATGATGCTGACATGGGAGAGGCATTGATTTCGTATCTGAAAACCAATGAAAACCTCGGGGAAATGTCAAAAGTTCCAATTATTTCCCAGATGATGTGCCTTGTTTGGAAGAATCAAAAGTCATTGCCTGAGAGAATTACTGAGCTATTCGGAAAGTTTGCAGAGGTTCTTTTCATTCGCCGCAGTGAAGATGTGAGTGATCAGCAGCAGATGTCCATCATGATGTCCATCATCAATGGCTTGGGGCATGTTGCATTGCAAGGGTTACTAGACTCTAGAGGGGAAAGACTCGTGTTCGATAAAACTGAATTTCAGGATTGTCAGTCTTGCTTAGATGAGGGTTGTCGTGTGGGTTTCGTTCAACAAGAAACGTTCACAAGTGGTGTGGATGTAAAAGTGCTGGTCACTTTCCATCACAAGTCCATCCAAGAACACTTTGCAGCATGTCACCTGGCAAAATTGCTTGAAGATGACGAAAACAATTTCTGTCATCAGTTGAAGCAGATTGGACCAGGAAAGGTTTATGAAATGGAATACCTGCTGAGATTTTGTTGCGGTAGATCAAGGCAGGCTGCTGGTCTCATTCTGGATCACATACAAGAGATGCAACCTGATGAGAGGAAACTGCAGAGATTGGCTCGGTTGTTTTTGTTGGAGTCTGGTTCAGAAGAGTTGGCTACCAAACTTGTCAGACCAACAAGTGTAAAGTGCACGAGTAATGAAGACATGAAATCACTTTGCTTCTACTTACAGCATGTCACACCGCCACTTGAAGGTACAACTTTTAGAATGCATGTAAGAAAGCATGAGCTAGCCCTTCTTAGTGAAATTCTTGCAAGTGACAGCATGGAGTCAGCTAAGGTTAAAGTGGTTAAGTACAGGTTGTCTGAGCGGGAGACGGAGGAGCTCAGTGGCTTGGAACAAACACTTGGTGTGGTGGATGAACATCACCGTGCTCGATTATACATTTTGGTTTGGATTGCTGCAAAGTCATGGTTTGACGTGGGGCGTGTATCACACAGCCTTTTCCGCATGCAGGAACAAATAGACAGGCTTGGTTTGGTTATGAACCAACGATCACCACATGAGGTTGTTGATCTATGGAAGGCGCTGAAAGGATGCAGGTTGGATTTGCTCGGACTGACTGGCACCGACCTGCATGCACAGGTGAGAGATGTTAGTCACATCTCGTCATCCCTTAGAGTCTTGCAGCTCAGTGCATGCAGGTTAGTCGATGACGATGTGAAGGACCTGATCAGTATCCTTCCCGCTGGGCATGGTTTAAAATGGCTTAACCTTGTTAACAATGCATTCAGTTTGGATGCCATGAGGGCTCTCACCCATCAACTCCAAGGTCTCCCTAGGTTACGTTTGTTATCACTTAGTGAGATCGGCCTCGATCCTGAGCTCATCAGACAAGTTGTCAGTCAAGACCTCCCTCGCCTGAAGGAAATAGAAGAGGGAGAATTCCAAGCCTAAGTAATCTCCCACCAAGTCATAACTCTCACCCTGTTCCCTATGAATGCACCTCTCTCATGATGTGCATTCAACAGAAACAAGTAGCACGTATCAATGGTCAACTTATGTTAAGTCAATGCTCTGCAACTGCCCCCCCCCCAAAAAAAGTAAAATACAACAAAAAGAACAACAATCAATAACAACAAACACTTTCAGAGGACAATAAGGGGCTCGATAATGAATAGAAAAGTCAACAAAAAAGTTTCAATGCAAAAAGAAATATTCAGAATCCTCTTACACTATGAATACAAGTATACCAAACATAGCTCTTCATTCTACTGGAAACCCCCCCCCCCCCAAAAAAAAAAAAAAAACACCAATGAATCAATCAATCAATCAATGTGAAATGTCAATCAAAAGTTCCAGTACAAAATGATTCATTGAAATTTTCAAACATAATGGCATTGTACTAAATATATTCTGGGTGTTAGTTGAAAGTGATATTAAATTGACAATGTATATCAGTTACACTTTGATTCCAATGTTGAGTTCATCCAAACTATCGCGTCATATTCTCTCATTGATTCATTCTGAGTACCAAAGCATAACAATCTACCCCAAACAGTTGTTTCTAATTCATTCTCACACTTCCCTTCACAACTGTTATACAAATTATGTGGTGTCTCATCTACACATCATCTATATCTTGGGTGACCTCTGAGTACTATTTCTTACCACTACCACTTCTTTCAGCACACCAATATACAAGATTATAACACTAGCATCTAATCGCCAATTAAAAAGGAGAATCCACCTCTCCTTCCCATTTCTTTTGAGAAATTATCTTGTATCGCATAATCTTAGGTAAAAGTTGTGTGAGATGTCTTCAACTTTTGTGACAAAGGCCTCCTCCTACCCTGTTATCCGATCAATGTAGTAATATGGCATTCAAACAAACTAATGTGACCACACGCAAATGGCTGCACGACACCCTTCCATAGACCAGTGCTGTGCAAAACTTAGTATACAGATTAATACACCCAACCTCGGGTACTTTTGAATTGTTTTGCATTTAAACCAACAGAAGCACTACATAAAAATTGAAACCCTGAAAAATAGACACATTTTTGACAGAATAGCATTTGCCTCAGCTTATACAAATTAGAAAAATCCTCACAATTTCACGTGCCTCCAAATAGACGTTTCTTTTGAGTGTTTGTGCTTCATTCGTTATGAAATCCTTTCTGTAAATTAATGCAAAATATGCATAAAATGGCAAAAATTACGATTCCAGTTTGCTAACTTTTGTATAGACCTTGATTGTTTATGTAATATACCTTTAAAGTAGTCCAGTTGTGTAAGGACAGTATAATATGGATTTTGTTTACTATTCAACTATAGTCCTATGACCATATTGAGAGTTACTAAACCAGTGTTCATACTGTAAAACAATTGATGTATAGTACATATATACATGTACATACATGTAGAATGTTGCATTGCCAAATGATGCATTTTTGTCAGAGGACAGTCATGTTTGCCCAATCGTTGCGATTGCTGTATACTCAAAAATGTTTCTGTATTTCTGATTATGTTGAAATATATCCCAGGTCGAAATAAAATAGAGAAAAAATATATTTATTTCCCATTGAAAATACATTTTTTATTTTTGTTTTCCATTGTATTTCGCCACCCCAAAAAATAGTGAAAAAATATCTTCTAAAAAAATAGAGCTAAAATAAAGGTAAAATAGGTTGCTATTTTAAAAAATAGCATGCTATTTAAAAAAAATGTTATTTTTAAAAATTACAAAATGGCGTCCGTCCAAACAACTGTTCTAATACGTGGACACTACATGTTAATAGTACACATGTCCATGTGGACAATAAGCATCTTTAGCAGTCCTCAAACATACATGAAGTGAGCAAACAATATGACTGCATAAGAATGGAATAATTGAAAATAAGTCTATTACCATGAACAGTAATAATGCTGTGACAACACAGTGTCCAAACAATTAACATAAATACATCATGCACCATCGAGTATTAAAACAGTTTGGTTCAACATGCTACCGGTGTGCATGCTTTTTCAGCAACATACAGCTTGAAAAGGTACAAGAATGTTACTCATAATTGTCCTGGAAAATGTACTAACCATGTGGTGCGCTAGTCACTCCATTACAGTGATTTGGATGCATTTTAACCACATCTTTATGCACACTTTACTGCAGCTGTGTTTCACAAAGGGCTCTCAGAATGCAACTGACAAAATTCAAACTTTCCACACACACACAAGATGTTTATCTGGTATGCAAATTAAGTGCTTGGCCTTCAGATTGTGTTGTACTGAGCATATGTCCACAAAATAGCAAAAAAATAGTCCATGGTTCTTATAAACATGTGTAAGTGTCCAGAAAATAGACAAAAAATAGACTGGACCACACAAAAATGGCTAAGTCTCCAAAATAGTCATAAAATAGCGTGCAGTTGTAAAAAATAGAAATAAAATAGAGTGGCAACATGTACTTATTTTGATGTAATAGAAATAAAATATATTTTGTTCCTATTTTCTAGGAGAAAATAGCTAAAAAATGTATTTTGAATAGGAAAAAAATAGGATTTTGCCAGAGATTTTAGTACAGTGGACATTATTTGCTTCTGTTTATCATTTCAAGCCTTTTCAAAGTATTGATTGACACTAGATTTGTTTGTTCCAAGTATGATAAATGTTCTCGTACCAAAACTGACGAATGTGATTTATTCACATTCGAAATGTACACGTAATGTTAATACTGTTTAACTGTTGTTGCTTGCTCGACACTTTAAAGAAGATTTCAATTAAAATGAGATTTACATACTGTAACTGCAAATAGCCGAACTGATTGCAATTTTAAACAACAGGGATTGTTTTACTCATTAATTTACACATTTAAAGGGATATGGGCAAAAGCGTAGCCAGGAATTTTTCAGTGGGGGGGAGGGGGGGGTCGCTGGGGGGGGGGGCTGGAACATTTCATGGGGGGGCGTCATGTAGGGGCGTCAATCGTTTCTCAAAAGTGGGGAGGGGGGAAATACCTTGATCAGAACTGATGCGAGCGCGAATCGCGAAGCCCTTTACGGCGTGGGGGTTCGGGGCCCGCTTAAGGGCCCGAAAAAAATGGATTCTAGATGTTCTGTGGTGTGATCTGAAGCAATTTCTTACCACTTTCCTATATGCTTTAACTAATATTTTCTTAGCAAAAAGATAATTATTTGAACATCGTTTTCGAGGTTGGAGTCATTGAATCAGCTATCGGTATTCTGAGCTATAGGTGTGGGGTTCGGGGCCCGCTTAAGGGCCTCGAAAAATTTTGGATTCTAAATGCTCTGTGGTGCTATCTGAGGCAATTTCTGACCACTTTAACCAATATTTTCTAAGCAAAAAATCTGGGGGGGGGACATTTGATATTGTGTCCCCCACCCTTCAAAAAGGGGGGGGGGGGGGGGGGACCAGTCCCCCTGTCCTCCCAGGATTGACGCCCATGGCGTCATGTAGATCAATGATTGTTTTTTTAGAAACTCAAAATCTCAGTGGGGGGCAACTGGGGGGGGGGGCAAGGTTTCATGGGGGGGGGCGATGATGATATGGTTAAATGTGAGAGACGATTTTGTTAGAAATGTGTATGTTATTTGTATTATTTGTTATTGGTGCAAAAATATTTCGGATCTCTTCTTTTTTCTCCCGATATTTTGGGCAAATGTAAGATGTCAGTGATTATTATTTAACATTGTGTACTTTCTATGATTATTATCGTGTAATAAATCATTGCATGCAATGACTTGAGACAATCAAGGAGAAATCTTTGAGGTTAGATGATTGTTGTGTTATGCCTCCATTCCTCCCTCAGTGATGGACCAATCTCCCGCCTCTGAATTCTACAGCTGGGTCACCACTTGGGTTTTGTATAATCAGGCATGCAGGCTTCATAATGAGGATATCAAAAGAAATTCCTTAGAAAATATATCAAGCCAATCGCAAATTTACTTCATGCAATTAAAAGAGAATGATTAGACAGCTAAATCACTGACGGATTCAGAAGCATTTATTGTTGGGGGATTAACAAAGGGGACACAGACAGGCCAGTTGTTGCCAATTCCTTATGTGGAGGGGCGGAGCTAGATTGCATTTTATGGGAGGGGTGCAGCGTTTCTTTTCTTTCTTAGTATTATAAAGTGGCAACGGGGATGAATAGACTACAATTTCTTATTAAAAACAGTCGTCTTCACTTGTTCCCTGGTGGATTTATCTCAAAAGGCATTTCTGGTGGCCCCACTTCGGTCTGCAAGACAATAGCTTCTTTGATTAATTCAAGACAACTTCAAATAAGTTGAAGTTGTCTTGAATGAATCATTGTTTCATTACATTGTTTTGTTGTGGACCTGTTGTGTTTTGCTGTTGTGGGCTTAGGGACACCACGGTGACTCGTTTGAAAACAAAAAGCCTTTTTAAAATATTTTTCTATCACCCAATGAACACCAAAAAATAGAACTTTACCTATTAACACCCCTCTTCAATTCATCCCCCTTTCATGAATTAATGATACTTGTGTAGGCCCCACTTCCAATAAACAACTCTACTTTAAGAACAAAACGCACTTTTTGTTTGACTTCCCTTCGATATTCCCTAAAAAATGTTTTTGTAAAATTAAATTAAGCTGTCTACATTTTGTTTGGGTGGAGGTGGGCAGGCATGGATTCGGGGGGGGGGGGGGGGGGAGGGGTTTGGGGTCAAAACGCCCCCAGCTCTGTCAATTGTTTTTTGTCATAGAAACTAATTAAAATTAATGCGAACCCCCCCCTCCCCCCTCCCCCCTCCCCCCCTCCCCCCTCCCCCCTCCCCCCCTCCCCCCTCCCCCCCTCCCCCCTCCCCCCCTCCCCCCCTCCTCCCCCTCCCCCACTGTGACACCCCAAATAAATTATACTGGTAATAATATACTGGTAAAATTCCTGGATCCGCCCCTGGTGGGGTTATCAGTGATAGACAAGTTAATTTCAGCGCACTAATCGAAAGCCCGCCCTCTATGGCTACATTTATTAAATAGAGGAATATCAAATATTAAATATTAAATATTTAATAGAGGAATATTCTTAAAAATAGAGGAATATAGAAGTCGCGGCACTCTAAAAATTTCTAAATGGGCGTTGCGGGGGGAGGGGCAGTTATCGCTTGATGAAAAAAAATTGCACCTGTACAAATTTGCATATACATTCCACAAGGGCTATACCAAATTAATGAAGGGAACTCAGTTCAAAATAAAATTTCTTTTTAGCAAACTATTAAATTTGAAGACGATCTTTTCTGAGATACAGGTCTCCAATATTGTTTTATATAAAAATTGTGAGAATTGAAAAAGATGGTATGCAAACATTGTGAATTGGAATAAAAACGACTTTTCCCCAAGCTAAAAAACCTGAAACTACCCCAGCACTAAATGTGCCTGGTAGTTTTCATTGGTGAGTAAGGCGCCGCAGAAATAACTGGTTCGCACTTCCCAATGCTTTTTGAAATCATTGCAATAGTACAGGGACCAGGGATTTGTTCACAAGCCAATCTCACGTGGTTCGTTGCGCGTTCTTAAATTGGCGGGGCACGACGTGGAGGACTTTCGTAAAAACGTCACAACAGTGAAAGTAAGTTTGCCAATTTTGGCCTGAAAAGTTAACCATTTGGCTTTGGAAAGCTAGGTGGAAGTGATTGACCTACTGTAGATTCTTCTGAAGTTATAATTTTTTTTTGCGTATGGAGAACTTTTCCACCCATATGTGCAGAAAATCAAAGCCCTGCATGCTCTGCGGTCACGCACAACGGTGCATTTACCCGGCGACCTGCACAACCCACTGCGTAGACCGGACTATACATAACTCATAAGCAGCCGGTCGATCCTCAGAACAAAAGCGATGTCTGATTTGACAAGAAAAGTGCCCCTTGTTCTTCTCAACCAATCAAAACGTTTGTTACATGAATGGAAAGCTTATTGTGTTATTTTTCAGAAGCCGTGTGAGCAGAGGCGTAGCCAGTCATTTTTTCAGTGGGGGGCGCGGGGGGGGGGGGGGGGGGGGGGGGGCTGGGACATTTCATGGGGGGGCGTCATGTTGATCAATGATAATTTTTTTAGAAACTCAAAATCTCAGTGGAGGGGGGGGCGAATGGGGGGGGGGGGGGCGACAAGGTTTTATGGGGGGCTGTTGCCCCCCCCCCCCCCCCCCCCCGGATTCACACTTGTGCGACTGGGTTCACACTTGTGCTGTTCGAAAAAGTAAACCCGCACCCTCAAAAATCAGGGAATTGTGCTGTGACCTCCATAGGAAACCCAAAATTTCCACTGAGTTACCCATTTTTCAATTAAAAAGTGCACATAATTATTCGCCTTTAATCATGAAGAAGTTATATTCATGTGAAAGAGGAAAATCTGTATTTTGTGATGCGATACAAGGAAGTAAGTTTAACAAACATACTTTCTGGATATTAATGAATTAGTTTGCTCAGAGCGCCCAGTCTTCCCACGTAGACAGAGCTTCACTAGTGGCGAGTGAGCAAATGCTCCATTGTTCTCCATATGGGTGTCACAGTGGGGGGGGGGGGGGGGGGGTTGACTTATATTTTAGGAATTTGTATGACAATTTTTTTTGGGGGGGGGCAGAGCTAGCTGGGGGGGGGGGTGGTTGTCCCCCACAACCCCCCCCCCCCTGGATCCACGCCTGCATTTACAATGCATGCTGGGCATGGATAAAAACATGAATTTTAATCAGACTGTCTTTTTCATTGACATTCAAATTTGGCAGTTGGAGTATATTTAGCCGGCACCGGCTTTCTTTAAGCGAACGATATTTTGCCGAATAGGCACTGAACATCATGCGCAGTGACATATAACATAGTACCTTCGCTTGTACCCCCACCCCCCTTCCTGCAAACAGAACGCTTGTCAGGGCTGACGTCATTTGAGCTCTCATTGGATAGATTTGCGTGACCTGTGACGTACATGTAGAACGCGTCACACAAACTAACTTCCGGTGCCCATCATGCGTAGTGCGTGCTAGCTGCATGTGAAGGTTAGTCCCATAAATGTGACAGTAATACTGGACTTCCTACTCTGATTAATAGGGAGGTAGACCAGTACACCGTCACATTTATGGGACTAATAAATTACAAAGTCTAAATGTGAACAATAGAAACTAGACAAAGTTTTACAATGTCAGGTACATGTACCAAGTGTGGCCTTTATTTACGGAGGTAGTCCGGTAAATTGGCCACATTTATGGGGCCAGACATTTGAGCAGCTATGAGGGATGACACCTTCTTGAATGTTTTGTTGATTATTTTGTGGAAAGAGGGCATGATGTCTTTGATTTATTGGGGAAATTATGGGGTCAATGACGAAGACAACCAGAAAACAGGCTCAAAAACCAAGATGGGGACAGTGAAACTCGATGCAATGAAGGCTCGATGCTGATTATGCTGATTGGCTGGATAATTTTTTTTTAACATGTAGTTATCAGCCAATCAGCATCGGGCTAAGCTTTCATTCTGTCTGGCTTGCACACGTGTTGTGAGAAGTACAATGTGCACTTTGTCTCTGATTGCAAAAAATGGGGAAAGTCACATTTTCTTTGAAAGTGTGTTTCAAAATTCCAACAAATATGAGTAAATCTGAAGACAAAAGACTGCCCTGCAAAAGTCACTTTGGTGCTGAACAGTCATTTTAACCGGAACTTGTTAAAAATAGAGGTGTCCTGAAGATGACGATTACCCAAGTCTCAGTACATAATGTAAGCCCCATCTGAGTCACAACTGCGCGTGTGCACATCACATGACAACAATGGTCTGTGGATAAACAAGCGGAAAGACTTCCACACCCCACCTGGACATCACTTGACGCACTGTGCACAAACCCTTTGAGACTGGTCTGAAAAAAGTCTGTGTTTTTTCAGTAAATACTTTAATTTCCCTGCAAAATTTTACTTTTTAGGGCATGTTATTGGAAAAATTAATGATGTCCATGCATGTATAATGGAATTCTTTCCTTATAGTAAAAAAGAAGATGGAACTTTTGTTTCCACCCTAGTTGCAGCATACACATATGATCAGTACAAAACAACTTAAACCATGGTGCCGTTAAACAATCAACATTTTGCATCTACTTCACAAAAAGAACTTTTCTTTGATTTCGTTGGTACCCCGCTATGATTTTGCATGCCTGTGGTGAACTTTCGATCCATAGACCCTAATCGTCATGTGATGTGCGCACATGCAGTTGTATGAAGGACATTTAATATTAGGTCAGGGAGCCAGACGATGCTGTAACGATAGCTGCAACAGTAGCCCCTGCATTATTTTTAACATTTTGGACATGATCTGGCGATAGTACTTACAAGGCGTTTCAAATAATTAACAACCCAAACATTTGCCAACAAAAACATCAGATTTCACCCTCAAAACGTCCACAGAATTACTACATACGCCACCTGAGATACAATCACAGATTTATGATTTTAAGATCAAGATATTAAACGATACTTACAGTCTGGATGAAAGTGAAATACCGTTTATGAATATCGGCGAGGGCTCCATTGCGAATATCTTGCGGACATCATTTTCCAATTTTTCCTCCTTTCTTTTCCAATTTCAGTAAACTATGGCGACAGGCGTCCAACATGACCTGATGAAGCAGGCACAGTGCTTTTGGTCAATGCTGGATGAGCTTGCAGAGACCGATGAAGATGCATACAGGAAGTTCATGGCCACAAACCTCTAAAGAGGACAGCAAGAATTGACACCGGCCAAGCCATGGATGTGTGTTAAGACCCGTATCATGGTAGGTTCACTTAGGCTGAATATATGTGTGTGTTTACGGTAACATCCTAACAATTATCCAGGTTGGTAGGTAGGACAATGATTTTGTTTTTAAATTTCTTTATGTTTGTCTGTCAGTCGAAATACTATTACTTTGGTTATTATAGGGTACATACCCTTCACAGGTATTCTGTTTAATTAACCGGTTTAATTGTTTAATTTTAATAACCATCAACACACCACAATACTCACATAGGGGCAATTCCGTAAAATCCAACGGACCAATCGGACCACATGATGTACATGTACAATGTCGTTAAGGTGGTGGTACGTTTGTTTGGTCTGTAATATTTTTTCTACTCATTAGATGTCACATTATTAGTGATCTATCACATTCATTTTTCCAACAGCAGCTCATTCAAGTGTCTGACATTTATGCCCAAATTTACGGAATCGGCGACAGCGAAGACCTTTTTTCATTTTCAAAATGTACTTTCGTTTCAAAGATTCAAATTCAGCAAATGGTCAGTGAGGGATGCCAAACACAAGCAAGTGAAGATGACGTCATTACACGGCGCCCTCTTGTGTCACGTCAAAAAAAGTTAATTTTTGTAAACCTTCCTATGCAAACATACATTTTGTGCCAAGTAGTCCTTTCAGTCCAAATCAATCAAGTGGCTGTTTTCAACAGTTAAGAATTCCCAGCCTACACGGGTGCGGATCCAGAGGGGGGGGGGGGGGGGGGGGTTTGGGGGGTCAAAAAAAAAACCCCAGCTCTGTCAAACATTTTTTTTTCAATAGAAATTCATGAAAAAAATGCGAACCCCCCCCCCCCCTCCTGCTCCGACGCCCAAATTTTGTTTGCTAGTGATAATACAGATAGTACAGAGCCAGCTTGGTTATTTTTGAAGTTGCAATCAAAGTAAGGGTGTCATTTGTTTTGGGACACCCTGTACAACACAGTTTCCAAAAGTCTATAGTTTGGTAATCCCCACAAAATGTGAACGAAATTACATATTGGATGTGTGCTGTATGCTGTCAGCCAATCACTCATTAAAGACAAACAGATTGAGTTTGTCTAAGAAAGACTTTGTCACTGAGGTGAGTACATGTACTCCAACAGAAATGAAAAGCACCAGCAATAGTCCCATATCGCCATTATTCCTTTCACCTGGTGTGCTAATCCGTAAGCAGCGGGGCAGCACCAAATATGGGATTGTGTGGGGCAGCTTTTTCATTGGGTATTGTTGGCAGAATTTGCATCAAGGTCTGTGAGAGTCAATGGTGGATGACCTGAGAATACAAACCCAATAAACGGGGCAGTGACGTTGGAACGAGGAATGCTGAACTTGAATAGATTCTAAGCTCTCTGGCTCGCTGTAGGTAAACTATTGGGGAATACCCCCGGTACCAATTTGTACAATCAACAATATAGTCTGGGTATTCAGTTTATTTCTCATAAACTGAGTGTACAATTTTACGTGCTCTATGGCAAAGCTTAGATTGTCAGAATAACCTAGGGGTCAGCCTAATTTAAAGATCTACGTGTGCACCAATAGGATGGTATGTTCAGTGTGACCGTGAGTGTGTGCAGGAGAAATAGGCCAATCAAACTACAGGGTGGCACAGCACAAACGCATGGCAATTGCTGAATTCTTCTGAGTAACTACCCAGCATGATGTCATCGGGACTATAAATAGGGGCTGGGCAGAAGTGGTTTTATCATTTGCGCGCCTTCGCCTTTGAGAGTAACTTGGATTCTGTTCTTGTCAATTACGCTCTACACCTTTTTAGTATTGCAATCTTAGATTTGGTTTCTGGAAGAGTTTAGCATTGATTGTTTGTGAGGCAAGCCACAGTTGTGTGTGTAGTGCTGTGTACAGGGGAACAGTTTCTGTTGGTGAGTAGTCATTCTTTCTTTTTTGTGTGTGGAATCATTTATTGACAATTCATGTTGCTAGTAGGACTGCTGTTTGCAGAGTCAGAAATGGGGTAAAACTTTTGAGTGCAGTTTACAATTTACCGATCAGCTATTGGACGAGGGTTTGGTTCGCCAGTCGATTTGATACCAGTTACCAGTCACTTCAGATGATATCATAGCTAGTCGTATGCTGGTGTCCTACCGGTACATGTAGTCACTGTGACAAATTGGCAAAGGGTTTTAGGTTTAAATTGTGATTGTGTTTGGTACGGCAACTTGTAGAAGATAACGTGAAGTTTTGATTCAAATGCTAAAGCTGTTGTTGTCACATGGGGTTGAACTCCTGTCAGCAGTATTATAGTGTAGTCCACCGAGTTGAGTCCAAGCAGATGGAGTCCAATCGAGTCCAGTCTTTTTTCCAGAAGTCAAGCTATTAAAGTCAAAGTTTCATAATTGAGTCCAAGCTAAATCCAAGCCTAGGCATGAAAACACATTCAGACCAAATCACTTACCATGAGCAGTGTTTAAGGGACAACATACAGAGAACAGTTTGTGTAATTATAACATCCTGCTGCATATATATTGCTTCATAATCTGCAGTGAATATCGTGTGATGATGGTTCTATAAGTTTATTTGAGACGCCTACTGAGCTTGTCTACAATTATGTGAAAATGTGAAGTTAAATGCGGTCATTTAACAATTAGCAAATACATGTACTGTGATGTGGGAATTTTTTATTGTAATGGATTTTCTACTTGTACCGTAAGTTATAATTTAACGAAAAAAGTATACATGTTCTATTTTAAAGCCAGAGTCCATCATCCAAAAAGTAACTGGTGAAAAACATACTGATTGAAAGATAGTAAGGGGACTAAACTCCTTGTGAAATTATTCTTTCTGACAAGCTGTCATTTTAAAGAAATCACCAAAAGAAGGCCTTTCCAACGTCTTAAGAAGCACCGTTGGAAATTTCTGTTAACTAGTAGTTCGTTTATTCAGCGAAGTGCGTGCAAGCGTTGACACAATGCACACGCGCATGGTTGCTATAATTCGTCGGATCGGTGCGCAACATCGCTTAGCTGCAATCGGCTCAGTGAGAACTGTTTCGGACGCTGAATTCAGGCCCGATTCAAAACATGATTCAGCAACTTTTGATTCGAAATTAAGATCGTAGAATGTTTCTTGAAATACACAGCTGAAGCTGAGCTGAAACTTCATCAGGTCAGTTGTTCAGCACCCTTCTTTAGATTTTGAGCACTTTTGTTGCTTCAAATGAACAGAATGCGCAAATTACAAATGATGGGTTATATCTTTAACCGTGTGCAAATTAATTCATGCGATGTACATGTAGGCTGCTGATGCTGTGAGCCAATCACTCATTACCAAAGAAAAACATGTTTGAGTTTGCCCACGGACCATTGTGGTCCATGGTTTGCCTAGTACAGTTTTTTTCACAATAGGTGAGTGCTCCAAACGAAATGAAAAGCACAGGCAATAGTTCCATATCGCCATTACACACATACATGTACACTCAACCAGAAAAGAAATCCCCCCAATACTTTTTGTCTCACTCTAAAACTACTGCACATCTTTTGCTCAAATAGTGACAAGTACAGAAATTCCTTAGCAATCCAGCCATACTCTTTATTTGGCACAAAATAGCGATAATGTCCGTTCACAAAGTGTACGAGCAAGTTGAGTGTGAACATTTCGTCTCTAACGCAATCTTCCAACAAAAAGTTGTGTTGGTTATGTTTTTACCCTTTCCTTTACTGAACCTCAAAGAACATGCAAAGTACATTTATGCAGTAAAGGAAATGGTGAAAAAATGTTAAGAAAAATTTGTTTTAAGAATTTTTTGTTGGAAGAGATGAAAGAGCGTTCGAGACAAAATGTTCACACTCAACTTGCAGGTGTACAAAAGTGCAAATTTGTTTCGGTATCATTTGTCATAAGTTGTATAATTTTGTACACATTATCGCTGTTTTAGGGCCAAATTAAGAGTATGGCTGGATTGCTAAGGACTTTATGTACTGATTAGTCATTATTTGAATGAGAGGTGCCTAGTAGTTCTTGAGTTAAAGACAAACAAACTTGAGGGGGGGACTTTCTTTTTTGGTTGAGTGTGTACAAGTTTTACCTGCAGGGTGTGGCACATGTACATGTACATGTATATTATCCGTAAGGCATACATGTGAGTAGCAGGGCAGTGCGCCAAATATGGGATTGTTTGTGGCAGCTTTTTCATTGGGTATTGTTCATACAATTTGCATCAAGGTCTGTGAGAGTCAATGGTGGATGACCTGAGAATACAAACCCAATAAATGGGGCAGTGACGTTGCAACGAGGAATGCTGAACTTGAATAGATTCTAAGCTCTCTGGCTCGCTGTAGGTAAACTATTGGTGAATATACCATTGTGCTTTCAACAATATAGTCTGGGTATTCAATTTATTTCTCATAAACCAATTGTACATGCTCTATCGCTAATATAGAGTGGGTGTTTTTGCTGTTATTGAGTTGAGTAACATGTACAGGCCAAGGTACTTTATTTTGGAGGAGTGGTAATTTCTCTTGGACACAATAAACAAGTTTTGTCTTCACAGACGTGTACCAGTAAAGGGCTATGAATGTGCATGTCAGAGCCCTGAGAACAGTTCAAATTACTGAAAAGGCTACCCTGCTGAAATGAAAACAGTATACTTCAAAAGATGTTACTCTATTCTGTAATTAGGACTTGTTTGATAAAAAAAAAGGTTTTACGCAAAACAGGATGTTTGACAACTTTCAAATTGTAGTTTGTGTTGCATGTTGCCCCGTTGCTCAAAAGGTAGTGAAGCAGTTTCAATTTTCGTGGTATATACCGACCCACAGGGGATCTGACAATTGCCCAGTTCTCTTTTAATATCTCTCTGAGCATGACGTCAGTTTCACATATAGATAGGAGCTGGGCGGAAGAGGTTCTTTCATTTGATAGTAACAGTGGATCCGCTCTTATTGATTCTGAACTGTACATTTTCAGTATTGCAATAGATTTCAGGCATGCAACTTTTTTTTCGGAGCAGCTGATTTCCTTTCTTTTTTTATTCTCATTTCATTCTGCCTCTCAAAATTGAAAAACACAAAGTCTTCTGAATTTCGGGATTTCTGTTTTTTGTGGTGAATTTTGCATGCCTGGGATTTAGTTTGTGGAAGAGATAAAAGCATGATTTATTAGCAAGCCACAGTGATACATCTGTTTTGACGACTCAATGAAAATCCCTTTAATCATCTCGGTGAGTAGAATTGACGTAAATTCTGCCAATGGGAAGACAGGTTTTAAACTGAGTGCACATTTTCTTTGATTTCATTCTAATTGAACCACAGATGGCCCTGCTTAGATGATTCATGTAAGATATGCCATTTGTAACTGCTGGCAAGTGATGGACGGCCTTTTTTCCCTGGCCCCCCACTTTTACTTTTTTGTAAACACAATGGAGACATTGAGTCTGCCATGCAAAAAATGTTATACGGAGATGACGCTGATACTAAGATACATGTAGGTACATGTAGTAGAGTCAAGGCTTGGCAAGTTGGCATGACCGGATGTGGGATACTTCAACTTAAGGTTTCTCCTTGCGGCAATCAATCTTAAAGGAAAGTTCTGGGCTCTGTTGGAATAGAAGAAAATCGGGCACTCTGTGTACTAAAATAATATGCATATATGTGTACATGCCATAATAATTGATCAAGCCAGCAATTACTATTGTAATTATTTTACTAATATGAAAGTGAGTTCAGACTCTGCCAAGGATGCTAAGAAGTAGTTTCCTGCATAAAGTATGTTCACCATTTTCTTGTGACCCTACTTATTTCCTTTTGTAGACACCAGTGGGGTATATGGGGGGGGGGGGGGGGAGGCTAAATCCTACAACACTTGAGGGTGGGGAGGCGGGTGTGCATGTGGTTGTCCAAAGTTTGATGTGTTGCCATGGTTAATTCCCTTCCAGACAGTTTCTTGTGTTAAATGTACCATCAGCAAATAATGAGTATTGACATTCAGACTCTGATACGGAGCATGGGGGTTAACTAGGAGAGGGAAAACATGGGCAGGGATGCCCCTCCCTCAACACTGCTGTTTTAGAGGTTTTTAGCACAATGCAGGTTGTAAAAATAGGGTTTAAGTTCCTTCCCACACAAAGTTAACTGTTATGTCTTTATATCCAAACAGTAATGGACGTGTGAACTCCTTCACTGCCACAGTCGGCTACAGAGTAACGCCTTTCATGGGTTAAAGGTGAGTGAATTAATAGACCTACATGTATTAGACATCATGACGTCACGCTTTGTTCACATGTGTGCTTTCCTATGGGAGCTTGGTGGCTCTCTTGCCCACCTGACTCCCATAGGAAAGCACACATGTAAACAAAGCATGATGTCAATAGGTCTATTTTGACTGCAATTTCCCTTTCTGCTGATAAGGAATATACCGGTACACCTTTGTTTAAATCTTTGTGACTGAATGATGATGTGATTCGTAAAATAAACTGGGTGTCCAATTTCAAGTTCAAAGCTCCAAGATGCTCAAACACAAATAAAAAAACTACTTTGGACTTTTATTGTCAAGGTGTCAGAAAGGTTTTGCTGGTCAGGTCATGTAGCAAGATTTTGTAAATTTTGTTCATGCAATTTTGTGTACGAGCAAGTTGAGTGTGAACATTTGATCTCCAAAGCAATCTTCCAACAAAATTTCATAAAATTAATTTCAAGTTTTGTTGGTTATGTTTTTACCCTTTCCTTTACTGAACCTCAAAGAACATGCAAAGTACATTTATGCAGTACAGGAAATGGTGAAAAAATGTTAAGAAATCAATGTTAAGAATTTTTTGTTGGAAGAGATGAAAGAGCGTTCGAGACAAATAATGTTCACACTCAACTTGCAGGTGTACAACAGTGCAAATTTGTTTCGGTATCATTGGTCATAAGTTGTATAAATGTGTACACATTGTCACTGTTTTAGGGCCAAATTAAGAGTATGGCTGGATTGCTAAGGACTTTCTGTACTGATTAGCTGTTATTTGAGCGAGAGGTGCCTAGTAGTTCTTGAGTTTAAGACAAACAAACTTGAGGGGGGACTTTCTGTTTTGGTTGAGTGTGTACAAGTTTTACCTGCAGGGTGTGGCACATGTACGTGTATATTATCCATAAGCCATACATGTAAGCAGCGGGGCAGCACCAAAATAATATGAGATTGTTTGTGGCAGCTTTTTCATTCAGTATTGTTGGCAGAATTTGCATCAAGTCTGTGAGAGTCAATGGTAGATGACCTGAGAATACAAACCCACTAAATGGGGTAGTGACGTTGCAACGAGGAATGCTGAACTTGAATAGATTCTACGCTCTCTGGCTCGCTGTAGGTAAACTATTGGTGAATGTACCATTGTACAATCAGCAATATAGTCTGGGTACAATTTATTTCTCATAAACTGATTGTACGCGCTCTATCATGTCTATGGCTATTAAATACAGGTGCATGTTTTTTTTGGCTGTTGTTGAGTAACATGTACAGACCACCTGAGTTGAGGCCCAGCAGAATGAGTCCAATTTCAGTCTGGTCTTTTTCCAGAAATCCGGCTACATTGTATTAAAGTAAATGGTTGATTCTGTGCTATTTAAATCCAAGTCTACATGAATGAAATCTTATTCAGACCACATCATGAACTATGAGCAGTGATTAAGGGACAACATACAGAGAACAGTTCATGAAATTATGACGTCCTGCTGCATAGTTTCTTGATAATCTGCAGTGAATATCGTGTGATGATGGTTCATATCAATTTACTTTAAGTTTATTTGAGATGCCTACTGAGCTTGTCACAATTATGTTAAAATGTGAAGATAAATTAGAACCATTGTTGAGTATACTGCGATGTGGGAATATTTTATCCTAATGGATTTTCTACTTGTAAGTTATAGTTTATTCATAAATACCTCAGACAGTTTAGCTATTCCTATTGGTCGAGAGCCCGTCACGTGGCCGGTCTTAAATGGATGATAAAGACATGGCTAGCTGGTCTTAAACACTTTTCCAGTGTCACAATAAAATGTGGACTCCTAAAAATCCAGTGCCTCTTACCGTTTCATTGGTTGAACGTTCACAATCCTCACGTAGGCATGCGCAACACTACCAGCGAGTCAGAATTTTATAGTTCTAAATACAAAACGCAACGCCTCAGGTGCGTTCTGCGCGACATCGCGCAGAACATGCTACGCGCGCGTCAACCTCCATAAAAAGGTTGTTTACATCTTACTCTCCAGCTGAACACTCCATTATTTTGCTAGAGGGATGTTTCAAAAAGCATGAAGTGAACTTGTTGAACAAAATCGGGATTTTGTGAACGAATTATTTGATATTTTTTTACCGAAAAGGTATTTATGAATGGGAATAAATATGTGCTCGGTCGGTATTTATCACTCTGTTTAATACCGCTTACAGTCTGGGTGCTGATAATTACCCTCGCCTCCGGCTCGGGTAATTATCAGCACCCAGACTCTAAGCGGTATTAAACAGAGTGATAAAAACCTCCGGAGCACACATTTATTCCCTTAATAAAAAAAGTACATGTGTTTTCTAATTTAACTGTGTGCAAATTATAAAAAAAAGGCGATGTACATGTACATGTACATGTACATGTACATGTAGGCTGCTAATGCTGTGAGCCAATTTACCAAAGAAAAACATGTTGAGTTTGCCCACGGACCATTGGGGTCTGTGGTTTGCCTAATACAGTATGTTTCACTGAGGTGAGTTCTCCAAATGAAATGAAAAGCACCTGCAATGCATGTAGTTCCATATCGCCATTGTATCTTTACCTGCAGGGTGTGGTATTTATTATCCGTAAGGCATAAGCAGCGGGGCAGCACCAAATATGGGATTGTTTGTGGCAGCTTTTTCATTGGGTATTGTTGGCAGAATTTGCATCAAGGTCTGTGAGAGTCCATGCTGGATGACCTGAGAATACAAACCCAATAAACAGGGTAGTGACGTTGGAACAAGGAATGCTGAAGTTGAATAGATTCTAAGCTCTCTGGCTGGCTTTAGGTAAACTATTGGTGAATATACCATTGTACAATCAACAATATAGTCTGGGTATTCAATTTATTTCTCATAAACCAATTGTACATGCACTAACGCTAATATAGAGTGGGTGTTTTTGCTATTATTGAGTTGAGTAACATGTACAGGCCAAGGTACTTTATTTTGGAGGAGTGGTAATTTCTCTTGGACACAATAAACAAGTTTTGTCTTCACAGACGTGTACCAGTAAGGGCTATGAATGTGCATGTCAGAGCCCTGAGAACAGTTCAAATTACTGAAAAGGCTACCCTGCTCAAATGAAAGCAGTGTACTTCAAAAGATGTTACTCTATTCTGTAATTAGGACTTATTCGTAATTCGTTCGAACGAATTACTAATTCGTGCGAACGAATTCGTAATTCGTGCGAACGAATTAGTAATTCGTGCGAATGAATTAGCAAATGCCAAAAAAATTTTCCACCCTGTCCCTTCCCGGGCTTCATAGTATTGCAATAGATTTCAGGCATGCAACTTTTTCTCGGAGCAGCTGATTTCCTCTCTTTTTTATTCTCATGTCATTATGCCTCTCAAAATTCAAAAACAAATTTTGGAATTTCCTTTTTTGTGTAATGAATTTACATTTGCATGCCTGAGATTTAGTTTGTGGAAGAGATAAAAGCATAAATCCTACAACACTTGAGGGTGGGGAGGCGGGTGTGCATGTGGTTGTCCAAAGTTTGATGTGTTGGCATGGTTAATTCCCTTCCAGACAGTTTCTTGTGTTAAACATACCATCAGCAAATAATGAGTATTGACATTCAGGCTCTGATATGGAGCATGGGGATTAACTAGGAGAGGGAAAACATGGGCAGGGATGCCCCTCCCTCAACACTGCTGTTTTAGAGGTTTTTAGCACAATGCAGGTTGTAAAAATAGTGTTTAAGTTCCTTCCTACAAAAAGTTAACTGTTATGTCTTTATATCCAAACAGTAATGGACGTGTGAACTCCTTCACTGCCACAGTCGGCTACAGTGTAACGCCTTTCATGGGTTAAAGGTGAGTGAATTAATAGACCTACATGTATTAGACATCATGACTTCACGCTCTGTTTACATGTGTGCTTTCCTATGGGAGCTTACCCACCTGGCTCCCATAGGAAAGCACACATGTAAACAAAGCATGACGTCAATAGGTCTATTAATGACTGCAGTATTATTTTTTCTGCTGATCAGGAATGTACAGCTTTTTAAAATCTTTGTGACTGAATGATGTGAGTTTTAAAATAATCTGGGTTTCCAATTTCAAGTTTCAAGCTTTAAGATGCTCCAATAAAAAAATACTTTAGACTTTTATTGTCAAGGTGTCAGAAAGTTTTGCTGGTCACGTAGCAAGATTTTGGGTGGGGTGTTAACAAAACTGCTGGCCATGTGCAGAGAGCACAATCTGCATGTTGATCATTATCAGCGGCTATAACCCACTACCCTTCTTTGCCTTCTGTCCTCCACGCCCTTTTTGACCGATGGACTAGCTGATCAACCAATCAACAACGCCCTACTGACCAATCGACAGAGCAACCAACTGATCGACTGAACGACAGATTGACTGACCAACCAACGGACCGACCAACTGACTGACTGAAATATATAGCAGGCATGCAACTTTTCCTCGGATCTGCTGATTTCCTTGTTTTTTTTGCTAGAACTCATGAATGCCATCACAAATTGCAAAACACTGTCCAAAGTCTTGTGTGGTACGGAAATCCCTCGTTTTTTTTTTAATTCCCAGTTGCATGCCTGATTGGTCGACCAACTGAGCGATGGACTGATTGACAGCCCGAAAGCATCCATTTTGTGATTTTACATGATTGTACTTACAGTACTTTACACTCACAGGATTACTAAGTTGGACTACCGAAGCTGTCTGTAACTAAACTGTGCCCACATCACCAGCGCTAAATGGCAGAACCACCGGCTAAGAGAGTCAGAAGAGGAAATGAGACACAAACTAACCCTGGTCCAAGCACAGCACGAGACAGTCAGGCAGCTGCAACCCAACAACTACCGGCTGATGGAGTGAGGGATGATCATGCGACTCAGTCCGGCAGCAGACAGCCTTCCCAGCAGGAACCAACAAAACAACCACCGCCGCAACTACAGCCAAGACTGGGTGAGACACATACATTTGTCTGTAAACCCTGCATGTTATGACTCCCCTGGCCCTGATATCGGTTCACTGACAGCATCCTTCCCCTCCATCCTTTGCTTTGACGCTATTAGGCACAATATATAGCATAGCAGAGTCCCTGAAACAAGGGGGACCACACTGCAGACTAGCCCCTGTCACCACATGGCGAATTTTACTTACTATCTGGATGAAAGTGAATTTTTCCGTTCAATTCCGAGAACTCCCCTCGCATTTGCGTACACGTTGATTCGTTTGACTGGCAAGGCAGAGACGAGGGGAGCTCTCAAGATTGAATAGGAAATGTCACTGTTCATCAAGATCGTTAGTAAACCTTACTTTGATCTTAATCCTCAATCTCTCCTTCAAGTACTTGTATCTGAGGTGGGGTATCTGATTTTGTGGCTGTTTTGAGGGTGAAATACGAAGTTTTTGTTGGTTCATTAATTATGTGTCACACAGTGGCTGCCATTTTGCTTGGACACTAATTCTAGATCATATCCAAATGTTAAAATGTATATTTTAACAATATTTTAAACCAATATTAGGTTTTTGCCCTTCACCAACACATAGACAGGTCTAAATTGTAAACACTACATGTATATTCAATGTGTTACCTCCCGAGTGAAAGTTGGAACAAAAATAATTACAACGCATTTTGAAAAGACAAGATAACATGCATAAGCTAAAATATGGCCCCTGAACATGAATACAAAAAGTCTGGAAATATCGCCAAAAGAAAAGTCACAAATTCAGAGTATTTTAACTGTTTCTTTTGGCTCGGTCCATTAAGCAACAGTCCATCATTTGCAGCCATCCAAAAAGTAACTGACAAAGTTATTGTTGAAAATCATACTTGGTTGAAAGATAGTAATGGGACTAATCATATTCTCTCTGGCAAGCTGATACGTCTTAAGGTGCATCGTTCTAAATTTGCATTAGTGGTTCGTTTTCAATTCGGTGAAGCGCGCGCAAGTGTTGACACGACACACATGCGCACGCTGTAGTTATAATTCGTCGGTTCAGTGCATGACATCGCATAGCTGCAATGGGCTAAATGAGAACGCTGAATTCGGGCACAATAGATCCTATAAATATTGTTTAACTCGGAATATACAGCATTCACTGAGCTGAACTTCATCAGGTTAGTTGTTCAGCACCCTTCTTTAGATTTTGAGCACTTTTGTTGCTTCAATCTTCAAACGAACATAATGCACAAATTACAAATGATGGACTGTACCTTGAACAGCGGCCATCCCCCAGCAAGGTCATTGTCACGCAGTGAAGACCACGTCCTAAACCCCTAAACTGAACAGTGTCTTCCTGGAATGACATCACAGCAACAGCACCCTCAGTTGTCCGGAAAAGCATGGAACTTTTCAATCAAATTTATATAATAGGGATGTCAAATAGTTTTCATACATTTAAGGGAGTAGAAAGTTGCACAAATTGTGTGCCTAAGAAATAAGAAAAAATCACCACATAGACCCTTTAAAAATGAAATCTGGATACGTACATTTAAATCCCAGGCAAAACTTCTCAATGTACATTTTACTGCATGTAATTGGAAATTTTAACCAATCAAAAATGTTAAGGAATATAGGGAAAAAAAATAAACCTGTTTACAGAAGAAAAATAATAGGTCGAAAACTGGGCATGCAGATTATTCAGTTTTGATGAATTGCAGCTTGAAAGAATTGTTATGAATTATGTTCGTGTATACTTAATAAATAGTTTACTCATAATAATTGTATGATTTCTTTTAGAAATTACCAGTCTCCAGGGGCCAGGTACCTTTGAGGATTTGCAACAGGAAATTATTGACAACTACAAGCAAACTGCAACGACTATTCCTGCACACCCTACACTGCAGTCACGTCCAGTGGGTATTGAGGAATTCTTTATTCCTCTATATCTAAAAAAGAACATTCCAGGCAAAACAAAATCAGAGAGGTCGGTGAGTTTACCAGAAGGAAAATTATTCTTGGATGAAGCACTATATGACATTCTCAATTCCTTGGATGATTTGTTCAATCAGGAAAAAGTTAAGGAAATCAAGATTCTTGTTGTTGGCGGGGCCGGGACGGGTAAATCAACTCTGTTAGTGAAGGTTGCAAACTCGTGCATCACACATTTTAGTTCAAAATTATTTCTTGGTAGATTCACGCTTGTGCTTTGGATAAAGCTGAGGCAAATGCAGCAATCTAGTTGTGTCTTGGATGCCATATTTGACCAAATTCTAGCACTTAACACCAAACTGAGGAGACAAGAAGTGAAAGGGTTCATTGATGACCATGAATCAGGCATTGCTTTGCTGTTGGATGGATTAGATGAAATTCCGTCTCATGTTTTGCACTCTAAGGAGGGCGTGTACAGGGTTCAGGATATCTTACACAGCAGAGTCCTTACAAAAAGTTTTGTGTTGGTAACTACTAGACCACACATGACTGAATATGTATTGAGGAGTCCCCAAAAGTATGCAGTCATTGAGGCATGTGGCTTCACAGCACAAGACAGAGATCAGTACATCAGATTAAACCTTTCTGATGATGCTGACATGGGAAAGGCATTGGTTTCATATCTGAAAACTAATCGACATCTTTGGGAAATGTCCCAAGTTCCAATCATTTCCCAGATGATGTGCCTTGTTTGGAAGAATCAAAAGTCATTGCCTGAGAGAATGACTGAGCTGTTTGCAAAGTTTGCAAAGGTTCTTTTCATTCGCCGCAATGAAGGTGATCAGCAATTGATGTCCACTATGATGTCCATCATGATGTCCATCATTGATGACTTGGGGCGTGTTGCATTGCAAGGGTTACAAGACTCTAGCGGGGAAAGACTCATGTTTGATGAAACTGAATTTCAGGATTGTCAGTCTGCCTTAGCTGAGGGTTGTCGTGTGGGTTTCGTTCAATGTGAAACGTTCACATGTGGTCTGGATGTAAAGGTGTTGGTCACTTTCCCCCACAAGTCCATCCAAGAATACTTTGCAGCATGTCACCTGGTAAAATTACTACAAGATGACGTAAACAATTTCCGTCATCATTTGGAGCAGATTGGAGAAGGCAATGTTCTTGCAATGGAAAACCTGCTGAGATTTTGTTGCGGTAGATCAAGGCAGGCTGCTGGTCTCATTCTGGATCACATACGAGAGATGCAAGGTGACGAGAAGAAACTGCAGAGATTGGCTCGGTTACTATTGTGTGAGTCTGGTTCAGAAGAGTTGGCTACCAAACTTGTCAGACCAACTTTGGTAAAGTGCGAGGGTAACGAAGACCTGAAATCACTGAGCTACTACTTACAGCATGTCACTCCACCACTTGAAGGTACAAAGTTTTACATGCGTGTAAGAAAGCAGGAGCTTACCCTTCTCAGGGGAATTCTTCTGAGTGACAGCATGGAGTCAGCTGAGTCGATAGTTGTTCACTACTACTTGTCTGAGCAGGAGGAGGAGCTTAGTCTCCTTCAGGAAACACTTGGTGAGGTGGATGAACAGCGGCGTGCTCAATTACGCATTGCTGTTGACATTGAGGTAAAGTCATGGTTTGACGTGGGGCGTGTGTCACACAGCCTTTTCTACATGCAGAAACAAATAGACAGGCTTGGTTTGACTTTGCGCCATCAATCACCAGATGAGGTTGTTGATCTATTGAAGGCACTGGAAGGATGCACGTTGAGTGAACTCTCACTGTATTGCACCGACCTGCATGCACGGATGGGAGATGTTGGCCACATCCTGTCATCCCATATGCACTTGATGCTCTTTGCATGCAGGTTGGTAGATGATGATGTGAAGGACCTGATCAGCATCCTTCCTGCTGGGCATGGTTTAGGAGGGCTTGACCTTGATGGCAATGCATTCAGTTTGGATGCAGTGAGGGCTCTCACCCATCATCTCCAAGGTCTCCCTAAGTTACATTACTTGTCACTTCGTGACATCGGCCTTGATGCTGAGCTCGTCAGACAAGTTGTCAGTCAAGACCTCCCTCGCCTGAAGGAAACAGAAGAGGGAGAATTCCAATACTAAATAATCTCCCACCAAGTCATAACTCTCACCCTGTTCCCTATGAATGCACCACTCTCATAAGCCGCATTAAATTGAAACAAGTAGCACCTATCATAGGTCATTTTATGTGAAGTCAATGATCTGCGGCCCCCCCCCCCCCCCACAGAAAATTACAAAAACCAACAATCAATAACAACGAAAACTTTACTTTCAGAGGACAATAAGGGGCTCGATAATGAATGAAGAAGTCAACAAAACAGTTTCAATACAAATAGAATATTCGGAATCCTCTTACATTATGAATACAAATATACCAAGCATAGTTCTTCATTCTACTGAACTCCCATCCCCCAAAAATTCATTCCATCAATTGATCAATCGATCAGTGTGAAAAGTCAATCAACAATTCCTGTACAAAATGATTCATTGAAATCTTCAAACATAATAGCACTGTACTAAGCATTCTGGGTGTCACTTGAAAGTGATATTAAATTGACCTTGTATCTTGGGTGACCTCTGAGTACTATTATAAATCTACAATCTAATCGTCAGTTAAACAGGAGAATCCACCTCTCCTTTCCATTTCTTTTGAGAAAATATCTTGTATCGCATCATCTTAGGGAAAAGTTGTGTGAGATGTCTTCAACTTTTGTGACAAAGGCCTCCTCCTACCCTGTTATCCGATCAATGTAGTAATATGGCATTCCAACAAACTAATGTGACCACATGCAAATGGCTGCACGACACCCTTCCATAGACCAGTGCTGTGCAAAACTTAGTATACAGCATAATACCCCAAACCTCGGGTACTTTGGAATTGTTTAGCGTTTGCCTTATGTACAAATTCAGAAAATTCTCGCAACTTCACGCCTTTCAAACAGACGTTTCTTTTGAGTGTTTGTGCTTCATTCTTTATCAAATCGTTTGTGTAAATTAATGTAAATTATGCATAAAATGACAAAAATTATGATTCCAGTTTGCTAACTTGTGTATAGATCTTTAACCTTGACTGTTTATGTAATATACTTTTAAAGTGGTCCAGTTGTGTAAGGACAGTATAACATGGATTTTGTTTACTATTCAACTATAGGCCTATGTCCATATTGAGAGTTACTAAACCAGTGTTCATACTGTCAAACAATTCATGTATAATATATACATGTAGAATGTTGCATTGTCAAATGATGCATTTTTGTCAGAGGACAGTCATGTTTGCTCATTCAGGACCAATCGTTGCAATTGTTGTATACGCGCAAATGTTTCTGTGTTTCTGATTGTGTTGAAATAGGTGCAAGTGGACAATTTGCTTGTTTTTATCATTGCAAGCCTCTTCAAAGTATTGATTGACACTAGATTGGTTTGTTCCAAGTATGATCAATATTCTGTACAAAAACTTACATTTTTGTTTCTAACAGTTTTGATATTTTGCAGTTGCCCAGGTGATAACAGTCGTTTATAACATGCCCAAAGGCAACCATTCAATTTGGTAAAAGCAGTTCTGCAGGAGAGAAAAAGTATACTTTGAATCAACATTTTGATTTATTCACATTGGAAATGAAAACTGAATGTTAAAATGTTTAACTGTTGTTGCTGGCATGACAAGATTTTGATTAAAATGAGATTTAAACACTGTATTTACGAAGCTGAACTGAGTGCAATTTTAAATGACGGGGATTTTTTTACTCATTAATTTACATATTTCAAGGGATATGGGATGGGATCATTTGTATTTATCCCAAAAGTAACCTACCGAATTGTAATCAAAAAGCTCACTTGGATTAAAGATCGTACTGGTACTAAACACCCCGTGAAATTATTCCATCTGGCTTGCTGTCATTAAGAAGAAATAAAAAAATGTAGGTGATTTCCAAGTCAATTGACTGATTTTTGAAATAAGAGTTCTATGGACGAAATCGCGTTTATTGATCAAAAGTTTGTGCATGGATATTTCACTCTTTTCTTGAAAAGTGTAATATCCAAAGCTTCAACATGTTAGGTTTAGAGTATTCTTCTGTGAACAGTGATAATATTACATATATTGGAAACAAACAAATTGCATGAAATACAAATGTTCCTATGCCTTTAAGCCATGGTTTACAAACTACATAATTGTAATTTGTATCTTGTGATCATTAAATTGCAACTCTGTAAGATAAGGTCATCACTCGGGCACGGACTCTAAGTCAAGATAATCTGCTGACTTCTGGATAGTTTGGTTTCTGTCATAAAAATAAACCAAAAAGGAGAACTGACTCGGTGCATTATAATAACGTGAAAGTTGAACAAAGAAATTGACTGGAGCTGGTTTGACCCTGTGACCTCCGGATTCCTGTTCCGGTACGGTAATCCGGAACAGTCATCCTGCTACAGTCAATTTGTTTATTTAACTTAAAAACAAGATTTGAAAGTTTGCATGGTGGAAAGATACTACGATAAGATTAGTTTGCGGTAGCACCATGTGAATAAATCAGTCAACTTGCATCCTTCTCAGCTTCACCGGTTTCGAGCTTCACCAGTTTGCATCCTTTTCATGCCTCCCTGCACCCATCCGTATAACATCTCATCATCGTTGGAATCCCTCATTCTCCTGACGATGGGCAGATCGAGAGCAAACTGTTCGAAACATTAAGTCCCTCTAGTTCTTTTCAGAACCACACATACTCACAAAAGAGATTTATTCACAAGGTGCTACCGCAAACTTATCTTGTCTTAACCCTAAAGGGGCCGGGGGGGCGGAATGCCCCCCCCCCTCAACATTTTCCGTGATAGCCTCTAAAAAAAAATTTCGCGACCCGAGCTGTTATGACTTTTTAGCCTCGAGCTTTGCGCATCTTTTGATACCAAAAACATAAAAATCGGACCACGGGTTGCCGCGTAGCAAAAACTTTTCCGGCGCTATGCGCCGTGAAAACTGAATTTTTGCATAAACGTCGTGTACACAGAGCAGAATTGCCATTCGTACATATGAATAATTAATTAGCCATAATTCCAAAACCCTTTGACCTATAGTCATGAAATTTCTTGGGTATGTTTAGGAAGAGTTGCTCTATGCATGTGCCGAGTTTCAAAATTGTTCGTCACTCGATGGCCGAGATCTTAGGGGGGGCGGAATCCGCCCCCCCCCCTTCCGGCTGAGAGATGGTCAAAATAACCCGGCCCCTTTAGGATTAACTTGAAAATAAAAATTATATATCTGATATTTGCACTGTTTGGCGGAAGTAAGTTTATTGGTTAACTATGTGTAGAGAAATGTTGGAATTTGTAAGTCATTTGTATTATTTGTTATTGGTGCAAAAACATTTCTGATCTCTTCTTTTGTTTTTCCAGATATTTTGGGCAAAGTTTAAGACGTCCGGGATTTTTATATGACATTGTGTACTTTGTATTATTATTATCATGTAATAAATCATTGCATGCAATGACTTGAGTCAATCAAGGAGAAATCTTTGAGGTTAGATGATTGTTGTGTTATGCCTCCATTCCTCCCTCAGTGATGGACCAATCTCCCGCCTCTGAATTCTACAGCTGGGTCACCACTTGGGTTTTGTAATCAGGCATGCAGGCATGGGCGTCTACACAAATTTTTCCCCCAAATTCTCAATTTATCACTTTTCCGAGCGTCAGCAGGGGAGAATTTGCCCTACCCCCCCCCCATCAAATTAAATTAACAGCAATATGGCTTCGCACCTCTTTTTCCTTACCCCCCTCCCCTTTTCCTCCCCCCCCCCCCCCGTTTTCCAGGGAGGGAGGGGGGGGGGGAGTGCCCCCTTGCCCCCCCCCCCTCACGACGCCCATGCATGCAGGCTTCATAATGAGGATATCAAAAGAAATTCCTTAGAAATTATATCAACCCAATCACAAATTTACTTCATGCAATAAAAACAATGAGTTGACAGCTAAATCACTGATGGATCAGAAGCATTTATTGTTGGGGGATTGAAGAAAAGGGTCACCGACAGGCCAGTTGTTGCTAATTCCTTATGTGGAGGGGCGGGGCTAGATCACATTTATGGGGGGGGGGCAGTGTTTCTTCTCTTTCTTTGTATTATAAAGTGGCAACGGGCGGGGATGAATAGACTACAATTTCGTGTTGAAAACAGTCGTCTTCACTTGTTCCCTGGTGGATTAATCTTAAAGGCATTTCTAGTGGCCCCCACTTCAGTCTGCAAGACAGCTTCTTTGATTACTTCAGGACATCTTCAAATAAGTTGAAGTTGTCTTGAATGAATCGTTGTTTGATTACATTGTTTTGTTGTGGACCTGTTGTGTTTTGCTGTTGTGGGCTTAGCGACACCACGGTGACTCTTATTTGAAAACAAAAAGCCTTTTACAAATATTTTTCTAGCACCCAATGAACAAAAAAAAGAACTTTACCTATTAACACCCCCTCTTCAATTCATCCCCTTTCATGAATTAATGATACTTGTGTAGGCCCCACTACCAATAAACAACTGTACTTTAAGAACAAAACGCACTTTTTGTTTGACTTCCCTTCGATATTCCCTAAAAAATGTTTTTGTAAAATTAAATTAAGCTGTCTCCATTTTTTTTGGGCGGAGGTGGGCAGGCATGGATTCGGGGGGGGGGAGGGGTTTGGGGGTCAAAACGCCCCCCAGCTCTGTCAATTGTTTTTGTCATAGAAACTAATTAAAATTAATGCAACCCCCCCCCTCCCCCCACTGTGACACCCCCAAATAAATATACTGGTAATAATATACTGGTAAAATTCCTGGATCCGCCCCTGGTGGGGTTATTATCAGTGGACAAGTTAATTTCGCCGCACTAATCGAAAGCCCGCCCTCTATGGCTACATTTATTAAATGGAGGAATATCAAATATTAAATATTTAATACAGGAATATTATTAAAAAATAGAGGAATATAGAAGTCGCGGCACTCTAAATATTTCTAAATGGGCGTTGCGGGGAGGGGGAGTTATCGCTTGATGAAAAAAAAATTGCACCTGTAAAAATTTGCATATACGTTCCGCAAGGGCTATACCAAATTAATGAAAAAGGGGTGAGCCATCCATCAATACAAAAATAAGGGAACTCAGTTCAAAATAAAATTTCTTTTTAGCAAACTATTGAATTTGAAGACGATCTTTTCTTGGATACAAGTCTCCAATACTGTTTTATATAAAAATTGTGAGAATTAAAAAAAAATTCTTTTTAGCAAACTATTGAATTTGAAGACGATCTTTTCTGAGATAGGCCTACAGGTCTCCAATATTGTTTGATATAAAAATTGTGGGAATTGAAAAAGATGGTATGCAAACATTGTGAATTAAAATAAAAACGACTTTTCCCCAAGCTAAAAACCCTGAAACTACCCCAGCACAAAATTTGCCCGGTAGCTTTCATTGGTGAGTAAGGCGCCGCAGAAATAACTGGTTCGCACTTCCCAATGCTTCTGAAATCATTGCAATAGTACAGGGACCAGGGATTTGTTCACAAACCAATCTCACGTGGTTCGTTGCGCGTTCTTAAATTGGCGGGGCACGACGTGGAGGACTTTCGAAAAAACGTCACAACAGTGAAAGTAAGTTTGCCAATTTTTGCCTGAAAAGTTAACCATTTGGCCTTGGAAAGCTAGGTGGAAGTGATTGACCTACTGTAGATTCTTCTGAAGTTATAATTTTTTTTGCGTATGGAGAACTTTTCCACCCATATGTGCAGAAAATCAAAGCCCTGCATTCTCTGCGGTCACGCACAACGGTGCATTTACCCGGCGACCTGCACAACCCACTGCGTAGACCGGATTATAGTATACATAACTCATAAGCAGCCCGTCGATCCTCAGAACAAATGCGATGTCTGATTTGACAAGAAAAGTGCCCCTTGTTCTTCTCAACCAATCAAAACGTTTGTTACATGAATGGAAAGCTTATTGTGTTATCTTTCAGAAGCCGTGTGAGCAGAGGCGTAGCCAGTAATTTTTTCAGTGGGGGCGCTGTGGGGGGGGGGGGGGGGGGGGGCTGGGACATTTCATGGGGGGGGGGCGTCATGTAGATCAATGATAATTTTTTAGAAACTCAAAATCTCTGTGTGGGGGGGGGGGGGCGAATGGGGGGGGGGCGACAAGGTTTATTGGGGGTTGTTGCCCCTCCCCCCCCCCCCCGGGTTCACACTTGTGCGACCGGGTTCACACTTGGTGCTGTTCGAAGAAGTAAACCCGCACCCTCAAAAATCAGGGAATTGTGCCGTGACCTCCATAGGAAACCCAAAATTTCCACTGAGTTACCCGTCTTTCAATTAAAAAGTGCACATAATTATTCGCCTTTAATCATGAAGAAGTTATATTCAGGTGAAAGAGGAAAATCTTTATTTTGTGATGCGATACAAGGAAGTAAGTTTAACAAACATACTTTCCGCATATTTACGAAAGTTTGCTCAGAGCGCCCAGTCTTCCCACGTAGACAGAGCTTCACTAGTGGCGAGTGAGCAAATGCTCCATTGTTCTCCATATGGGTGTCACAGTGGGGGGGGGGGGGGTTGACTTATTTTTTAGGAATTTGTATGACAATTTTTTTTGGGGGGGGGGCAGAGCTGGCTGGGGGGGGGGTGGTTGTCCCCAAAAATCCCCCCCCCCCGATCCGCGCCTGCATTTGCAATGCATGCTGGGCATGGATAAAAACATGAATTTTATCAGACTGTCTTTTTCATTGACATTCAAATTTGGCAGTTGGAGTATATTTAGCCGGCACCGGCTTTCTTTAAGCGAACGATATTTTGCCGAATAGGCACTGAACATGCGCAGTGACATTTTTTGGGACTTAAAATAAAACATAGTACCTTCGCTTGTACCCCCACCTCCCTCCCTACAAACAGAACGCTTGTCAGGGCTGACGTCATTTGAGCTCTCATTGGATAGATTTGCGTGACCTGTGACGTACATGTAGAACGCGTCACACAAACTAACTTCCGGTGCCCATCATGCGTAGTGCGTGTTAGCTGCATGTGAAGGTTAGTCCCATAAATGTGACGGTAATACTGGACTTCCTGCTCTGGTTAATAGGGAGGTAGACCAGTACACCGTCACATTTATGGGACTAATAAACTACAAAGTCTAAATGTGAACAATAGAAACTAGACAAAGTTTTACATTGTCAGGTACATGTACCAAGTGTGGACTTTATTTACGGAGGTAGTCCGGTAAATTGGCCACATTTATGGGGCCAGACATTTGAACAGCTATGAGGGATGACACCTTCTTGAATGTGGATAAACAAAGCGGAAAGACTTCCACACCCCACCTGGACATCACTTGACGTCCTGTGCACAAACCCTTTGAGACTGGTCTGAAAAAAGTCTGGTTTTTTTCATTAAATACTTTAATATTTTCCCTGCAAAATTTGACGTTTTAGGGCATGTTTAATTGGAAAAATTAATGATGTCCATGCATGTATAATGGAATTCTTTCCTTTTAGTAAAAAAGAAGATGGAACTTTTGTTTCCACCCTAGTTGCAGCATACACATATGTTGTTGTTGTTGATGTGGTGTAATGGCACGTTCGGCAAACTAGTGCCCTTTGTGCCATAAGCAATACTTCTGCGTTACAGAACAGTAGGCTAATCAGCAAAAAAAGGCGTACGACATGATAAACAGAGACACTTCGTGAGAGCTGCGAGAGACAAAAGGAAAGAAATGCCAAAAAAACAACCAAGCAGTGACAGTTCGGTAAAGCATGGAGGCAGGAGTGGGGGGAGCGCCAATGATCCGCCGAACATGCAGTGTCGCTGGTGCCCTGCAAGGCCGGACCGTTCACCATGCAATTTAAGGGCCCGGGCCCCGCCGGGTTCGTCGCAGGTCCGCAACGCCTTCAGGTGATGAGGGCAACACTGTGTCCAGCCAACCATCGACGCTCCCCTCTCCCGCACATGCGCAAAATCTACAATATCAAGGAGGCGTGACTAAGCAGAGTAGAACAGAGTTGTAATGGAGGCGTGGCAAAACAATTAGATGTTAATGTTGCATTTGTGGATATATCGTAGAATTTCGTCACAGTTGTGTTTCTGACCTAGAAGTTGTTTGAGTGTCATTTGAGCATCAGAGTATCCAAGTGCCTGTCTTTGGACTTTGTAATTTGTGCACTTAACCATGAAGTGTTCGACGTCATCCGTGCATCCACATGTAACGCAGAGTTTGTCGGGGTGTTGACCAATGTTATGCAGGAAGGTATTAAGTCCTTTGCAAGTTCCCAGCCGAAGTCTGTGAAGGGGGATTTCTTGTTGGCATCTTTTACCCCAATTTGTGAAGGTGAAAGATGGTTTAAGTTTGAAATGTTTAGTCGGATCGAGGTTTGGAATAATTTTCATCCATTGGTCAATAATGTCATTTTTAAGGCATCGCTTGATTTCGGTATCAGAAAATGGGATATTGTGATCGACATTTGGCTTTTTTGTGCCAGATTTAGCAACTTTGTCAACTTTTTCGTTACCAGGAATTCCACAATGACCAGGGACCCATTCGAAGACAACAATGTTGCCTTGGTGCTGTATATTTATGAGGGTATGGCGAATGTCACAGATAATTTTATTCTGAGGAATGGGGTTCGAGATGGCTTGAATTGCACTGAGACAGTCACTGAGCACACATGCATGAATGGGTTTGACATCTTCGATCCATTCTAGAGCTAGAAGGATAGCAAAAAGTTCAGCTGTGAATATGGAGATGCCATTGTTAAGTCTGATGCTTTTGGAATACTTGAGTTGAGGAATATAAAGGCCACATCCAACAGTATTGAAATCGGGGTTAAAGGAACCATCAGTATAGATTTGGAGTGAATTGTTCCAGACAGTGTTAATAATTTCTTTGCTAATACTGCCTCTGATGTTGATATCATTTATATTCGAGACCTGGGAGACAATTTCTGTAGATATACTAGGTTTATAATAATGCCAATATGGGAAAGGGTTGATTAAAGGAAACGTTTCAATAGGGTATTGAGTAATTCTAGCTTCAAAAGGGGTTTTATGAGCAGTTAGTCTCCATTTCTCTGTGAAGTAGTTTTTCTGCCAATTGTCCTGTTGGAGATGGTGGTTAGGATGTTTTTTATGGGCATTTATTTTGATATTGTGCAGATTACTTAGGAATTGGCGACGAAGATTCAGTGGGGGGTCGCCACATTCAGGTTGAAGTTTATATAACGGTGAACCTTGGAGGGCTCCAGTGCAGATTTTTAGTGACTGGTATTGGATACTGTCCAACTTCTGTTTGATAGTGGCTGAAGCTGAATCAAAAGCTTCGCAGCCATATTCAAGGATCGGTTTAATAAGGGCATTATATAACTGGAAGAGTGTCTTACAGTCAGCTCCCCATTTAGTTCCGCTAATGCAACGCAAAAGGTTAAGTTTTCTCTTACATTTATTGACAATATTGTTAATGTGGTGCTTCCAGGTTAACTTGCTGTCAAAGGTGACACCCAGGAATTTAGCTGATTGGAGGATTTGGATATTATGGTCTTGAAGGAGGAGAGAAATATTAGATTTCTGTTTGTTTGTGAAGAGGATCGCTATCGTTTTGGGTTGAGAGAGCTTGAATCCCCATTTTCCGCACCATGAAAGGATATTGTTGAGACTTTTTTGGATTTTCTTTTGAATGAATGGGATGTTTCTGTTTGACTTCCAGATCGCTATATCGTCGGCATATTGGGACATGTGAACATCTGGTATGTGGTGGGAAAGATCGTTAACTGCAATATTGAACAAAAGGGGGCTGATGACACTGCCTTGAGGGACGCCATTTTCTTGAATTCTTTCTGAGGAGAGGGTGTCATTAGTTTTTACTTGAATTTTCCTGTCGCTGAGGAAGTTGTTGATCCAGCAGACAACGCGACCATATACGCCCATGGCTTGAAGTTTGATGATGACCCCTTTGCGCCATAGCATATCATAGGCCTTTTCGACGTCTAGGAAAACCGCAAGGGTGCTTTCTTTGTTCGCCCGGGCTTTATTGATCGATGACTCCAGATTGATAATATGATCTTTGGTGCTGCGGCCTTTCCTAAATCCACTTTGATGTTGGCTGAAAAGTTCATGCGTTTCAATGTACCAGAGAAGACGGCAATTTATCATTCGTTCCATCAGTTTACAGAAGGTGGAGGTGAGGGCTATAGGTCGGTAGGATGAAGGGTTGTCAGGATCTTTCCCTGGTTTGAGAATTGGGATGAGAATAGTTTCTTTCCATTGCACGGGACATTGGGAAGTGTGCCAAATCATATTGAATATAATAAGCAGGTATTCACGAACTTTGATGGATAGATGTTTAATGACCATATTACTAATTCCGTCTTTACCAGGGGTGGTGCACTTAGAAGCATCGATGGCATGGTTTACCTCATCAATGTTAAAAGGCTCATTAATAACACTATCATTGCTGTAATTAAGTTGGATGTTATTTTCAGCATCTTGTTTAGTCTTGATGAAGGAGGGATTGTAATTACTAGTACTACTTATTTTGGCGAAGTTGTCGACAAGTGCCTCTGCCTTATCTTCATCTGTGACAGCATCGATACCATTGTAGTGGATGACTGGAATGTTAGTTTTCTTCTTGGTTGAGTCGATCTGTTTTACCTTGTTCCAGATGAGTTTAGTATTAGTTTTTGTTGTAAGGTCGCTGCAAAATTTCTCCCAGTCGTTCCTTTTAGCAGTCTTGATGGTTTTCTTAGCGATTGCACAAGCCCGTTTGTAGGTTATTAGGTCAGACGGGAGCCTGGTTTTCCTTACTTTTTTCAAAGCCTCCTTTTTCTCCTCAATGGCTCTTTTACAGTCTTCGTTCCACCAAGAAGTAGGCGATTTATGATGGTTAGGGTCTGTTTTTGGGATAGAATTGGTCATGGCAAGGTCAAGATCATGTATGAAATTGTTATAAACATCATCTATTTTTGCTGATTCATCCGGTTTATTTATGAGTCGATTGCATTCATCTTCGAATTTCCCCCAGTCAGCTTTTTTCAGTGACCATCTTGGTAGTTTATTGGAAGGACTTTTGTAAATGCGATGATTGATTTCGATGAGAATTGGGCAATGGTCGCTTCCCCAGGTGTCATCAAGTACTGACCAGTCACATTTGGCGGCTATGCAAGGAGAAGCTAGAGTAATATCAATGCAGGAGAGAGAGCAGTGAGATGAGTTAATCCTAGTTCCTTCTCCGGTGTTAAGGCAAACCATGTTGTTACTGGATATAACGTCGTCAAGAACTTGCCCATTGTGGTCAAGTTTAGAGCTGCCCCAAAGTGGGTTGTGACCATTGAGATCTCCGCAGATGATATAGGGCTTGTCAATTTTTCCTATGATCTGGTTAAGAGAGTCAAATTCTAATTGGGTACAAGGATTATAAATATTAATGATGTTGATTTTATTCTTGCAGTCATCATAGATTTCACCAATCTGAAATTCTACAGGAGTGTTAGATCCAGATTTGTACTTAAACCCAATGCCATATTTTACAAGAAATGCACATCCTCCACCACTTTTTTTGGTGGTGTTTTTCCTATCACATCGGTAGACATCATATCCAGGCATTTTGAAATTTTTGTCATCTTTCAACCATGTTTCTTGTATACAAATGATGTCAGGTTTAGTGGACCAGGAATTTATAGCCGCTTTAAGTTCTTTATGATGTGCTGTGAGAGATTGTGCATTCCATTGTAAAATAAGAAGGCTAGTCATAATAGTGGAGATATTCATGATGTCGTATTTTGTTTGCCGTTTGGGATTTGATTTCCAATTTGTTGGTTAGTTGGTTGAGAGTCGGTTTTCTTCTGCTGTGTTTTCTGAGTATCAGTTTTCCTTGTGCCGGTTGGTGACTGCGATGTTGTTTTGCTCCGTCTACCGCGTTTTTCTTTGGCTTTTTTTGGTTCTTTAGGGAGACGGAGGTGTTCGATTAGAGACTTTGTTGCATCTATTCTCTCGTCTTTGTTCTTGATGGAGTCCCAGATTTGCATCACTCCAGTGAGTAGTTCTAGGATGTTTTGTTCACTGCAAATGCACTGATGCGTAGGCTCCGTTTGTGTGGCTGTCGTTTGTTCGGTTTGGGTAGTCGCATCTGCCTTTTGTGGTTCGGTGGATGATCTAACTTGGGGTTGGCTAGGTCTTTTGTCCTTAGTCGTAACATTTGTTCTGGGCCTGGGGTTTGGGTTAGATTTGTTCTCAACTATTGTTGCTGCCGGTTGCGTAACTTGTGTTTTAGGTGCAGGTTGACTGGGTACGTCACGGCTGAATGAGATGTCTGTTTTTATGGCTTTTGCTGCATCAGAGTAAGATATATTGTACGATACCCTGATGTTTTGTATGCGTCTTTCTTGCTTGATAGTATTGCATCCTGCATATGCTGATGAATGTTGTTCACCACATCTGCAGCACTTAACCTGATCCTTTTGTTTACATTGATCATATGAATGGGATCCCCCGCATCTAACACATCTGGTTGAACTGCGGCAGTTGCTGGCAACATGCCCAAGTCGCTGACAATTGAAGCAACGTACTACTGGTGGGACATAGGGTTTTACTCGGAAAATTTCGTATCCCAGTTGGAAGGTTTCGGGTAGGGTGGGTGTATTGAAAGTTAGACAGACAGAAAGACTTTTTTCCAATTTGCCATCTTTTCTGCGCATCAGGCGCTTAACATCCAGAACTCCTTCATCCTTATATGTCTCTAGGATTTCTTTATCTTCAATCTCAATGGGGATTCCTGTAATAACTCCTTTACTTTGAGTTTCTGATTTCGCAAATTCTGTAGTTATTGCCCATTTGTCAAGTTGCGACATGGCTTTGAGTTTTTTGGCCAGAGCTGGGGTATGACACCTAACCGTAATTCCGCCTTGGCTGTTTTTGGTGACACTTTTTACAAGATTACTACCTAGGTTGTTCAGGGCTTTAGCTATTTTTATTGGGTTAACTTTAGCAAGTTTAACATCTGGGGAATTTATGATGACAAGTGTCGGTTGGCTCTTGGTGTTTTGACTCTTTGAGAATCGCCGTTTAGGTTGGGGATTTTGTGAAGTATCGCTGTCTGAGTCAGAGTATACATCGCTGTATGTTATGTGCCGTTTGCGGCTCTTAGTCTGGAATTGAGAGCTATCTTGTGCCTGACTTATTAATCTGTCAAGTGTTGATCTAGGTGGGTCATCATACTGGGGGGATGGGTTAGACATGTTAGATTGTGACATTTGATCCCATGAAGTTTCAGACTCCATGTCATCCTCCATTGTTAGTGGAAATCCAGGCCTAGGTTGGCCCAGAAATCTGGAAAACCTGAATTACAGCCTCCTGATATTGAGATTTTGCTTACCAAAAGAACGATGCCAGCAAGATCTTGTACTCAGAATCGAAGATCGAAGCAAAAAAACAGTCACTGTTTTTTCAGAGATTCAAAAACTTTTCGCGCGCTCACGAGCATCCAGAAAACACGTCCGATCACCGCGAAACCATACATCCGATCTCATACACATATGATCAGTACAAAACAACTTAAACCATGCAAGGGCGGATCCGGGGGGGGGGGGGGGGCAAAGGGGGCCATGGGCCCCCCCCCCCAAACGAAACCATTTTTTAAATTGTTTTTATGTGACACCGCAATAAAGGCAGGCAATGAGTACACCACCATCTTTTCACCCAAAAAAATTGGTTAAAGTGGTCAGAAATTGCCTCAGATCGCACCACAGAGCATCTAGAATCCAAATTTTTTTTCGGGGCCCTTAAGGGGGCCCCGAACCCCACGCCGTAATTTTTTGGACCCACTTTTTTGGGGGGACCTAAAAAGTTTTTGGCCCCCCAAACAATTGTGTTCAGGATCCGCCCTTGAAACCATGGTGCCATTAACCCTAAAGGGGCCGGGGGGGGGGGGGGGGGGGCAAAATCCACCCCCCCCCTCAACATTTTCCGCGATAGCCTCTAAAAAAATTTTTTCGCGACCTGAGCTGTTATGACTTTTTAGCCTCGAGCTTTGCGCATCTTTTGATACCAAAAACATAAAAATCGGACCACGGGTTGGCACGTAGCGAAAAATTTTCCGGCGCTACGCGCCGTGAAAACTGAATTTTCCCATATACGTCGTGTACGCCGAGCAGAATTGTCATTCATACATATGAATAATTAATTAGCCATAATTCCAAAACCCTTTGACCTATACTCATGAAATTTCTTGGGCAAAATTTTCGTCACTCGATGGCCGAGATCTTAGGGGGGGGCGGAGCCCCCCCCCCCCCCCCCCCCCCCGGCTGAGAGATGGTCAAAATAACCCGGCCCCTTTAGGGTTAAACAATCAACAGTTTGCATCTACTTCACAAAAAAAACTTGTCTTTGATTTTGTTGGTACCCCGCTATGATTTTGCATGCCTGTGGTGAACTTTCGATCGTCATGTGATGTGCGCACATGCAGTTGTATGAAGGACACTAGCCCCATAAATGTGGCCTATTTACTGGACTGCCTCCGTAAACATAGGCCACACATCCACATGTACAAAAAACATGTCGACTTTGCCAAATTTTGATTTCACATTTAGGCTTACTTTTTACATTTTTTTTGCTTTAGAAGCATTCTCACCCTCTATATAGGCTAATCAGAAAGTGCTGCCTTTTTCAGATGTCCATTTTTTGTGAAATTTCCAGATACACGTTTGCGTATCAAAATTTCAACATGAAATTTAACAAAAATTAAACATTTGAAAAAGGCAGCACTTTCTGATTAGCCTATATAGAGGGTGAGAATGCTTCTAAAGCAAAAAAAATCTACAAAGTAAGCCTAAATGTGAAAATCAAAATTTGGCAAAGTCGACACGTTTTTTGTACACGTGGATGTGTGGCCTATGTTTACAGAGGCAGTCCAGTAAATAGGCCACATTTATGGGGCTAGAAGGACACTTACTATTAGGTCAGGGAGCCAGACGATGCTGTAACGATTGCCGCAACAGTAGCCCCTGCATTATTTTTAACATTTTGGACATGATCTGGCGATAGTACTTACAAGGCGTTCCAAATGATTAAAAACCCAACCATTTGCCAACAAAAACATCAGATTTTATCCTCAAAATGACCACAGAATTACTACATCACCCCACCTGAGATACAATTACAGATTTATGATTTGAAGATCGAGATACTAAGCTTTACTTACAATCTGGATGAAAAGTGAAATTTACCATTTATCAGCAAGGGCTCCATTGCGAATATCGTGCAGACGCCATTTTCAAAATTGTCCTCCTGTCTTTTCCAATTTTAGTATGGTGACAGGCGTCCAACATGACCTGATGAAGCAGGCACAGTGCTTTTGGTCAATGCTGGATGAACTTGCAGAGACCGATGAAGATGCATACAGGAAGTTCATGGCCACAAACCTCCAAAGAGGACAGCAAGAATTGACACCGGCCAAGCCATGGATGTCTGCCAAGACCCGTATCATGGTAGGTTCGCAATAGGCTGAAAATATGTGTGTGTTTCCAGTAACATCCTAACAATTATCCAGGTTGGTAGGTGAACAATTTTTGTTTTTATCTTCTTTTTTTTATGTATGTGTGTCAGTCTGTTATACTGTTACCTTGTTTATTCTAGGGTACATTGGGAAAGATTTCCATATATGAAGTTTACTAATTTTCCTCTGTATTGACTATTAACAAGCCCCCAGATAGTAATTTCATGTCATCAAAGTCAATTTGAGCAGTGAGAAAATACAAGCATTTTCTTAGAAAACACTTAGAATTTTTCAGTCCAATCTCATTGGGTTTGTACACAGGGTGTTGAGTGAACTTCGTATATGGAAATCTTTCCATACATTGTACACTAACCACAGACACACAATCAAGGTATCATTGGAAAGAGGACACATTGGCGTTTCACATCATCTTTAACTTATTTCAAAATATTTATTAGATTTTGCATAATTTACATTTGGGTTTCCTTGTTTTGATACACCCTGTATTGAGCAGAGCAACACAAACAGCATTCAAGTTTCAACTACCAATTCTGAGACAATGGGAGTTTGTCCCATCCAATCATGCATACTGTGGTGACTAGCAAGCTCAGACTCTCAGGCCGTTGGATTGATTTGGTTAGACTTACATGTAGCAGGCGTGGCACATTGACAAGCACCTGTTGTGTGTTGTTTAATTGAGCAGTTGAGCAGGGTGTTAGCCAAACAGGGCTCGATTTACCAAAAAAAAGTGGCATGCACTGGTGCAATTTTGTAGACCAAAAAACCTACATGCACCAAGAAAAACCCACATGCACCATAATTAACTTACACCCGTCTGCTTCTCTGAAGGCATTCTTCCTCTTTGATTTATCGAACTTTCTACAGACAGTACACCCGTGAACGTGGCGTTGTATACAACGCCACGCTGTTGTGGCATTTCGAACATGGCGAAATTGATCCGCCATACATAATTTCGTACATATGTTGAGTACTCACATAGAAAGCTAAATTTGCCTTCCCGCGTGTTCAGTATGTGTCATTTCGACGAAATTTGCCGTCGATGAAGACCCATACGAACGTGTAGAAATTAGATTTTAACCTGACAAGTGACACAAGTACCCAGGGTCATTTGCGTGCAAAATTATCGCAGCCCTTCGAGCTACCCGTCTGCTTCATGTGGCGCATATGATAGGCGACGTCCGATTGGTCAATAACGAGACCACGTGATAAACGCAGTTAATAATTTGGAATCACACTTATGATCCGGACATAAGGAATGCCCGGAGCGTCAGTGCGATACCAAATTATCCGCAGCATGTATCACGTGGTATTAAAATCACGCATGATCGGAGGAGGTTGCAGGACGTCGGGATCTCCAAATTTTACCGCGTACCTGAATCTGCTGCGAGGAATAATTTATGGATATATAAAAGAAATAACACGTTTGTACACTATCTGGTCAAGTATTCAACAAACTTTATTCTTATTATCACTCATTTGTAAATAGTAAATATATGAATGAAATGAGTATTTTGGTGGCTAAAAAAGTATATGCACGTCGTGCATGCTCAGTAAAAAGCTATGTGCACAAGCAAAAATCTACATGCACTGGTGCATGCGTGCACCCGGGTAAATCGAGCCCTGTAGCCAAAGCACTGGAACTGGTCATAAGGTTAAGGTGTTACCCCAAGAACTTACTAATATCCCATGTCTGGTTTTGCCGTACTGAATAATCCAGTACTGTACAGCCAAGCCACTACTTCAATAGACCTCATGCTGAGCGGCCATCTTTAGAGGACAATGCAAATATACTGCTTGGATATGCATGCCAACTAGACCTCTTTATGTGGCCAATCTACATGTTCACCATTGAACAACATCTGTAGACCTCTGTAGGTTTTGTTTTGTAAAATGTATCTTTTTTTGTATAGGAAGAATTGACTCGTCTAGTCCCAGACAATACGAGTTACGTCTGCCACTACCAGAGATAATACAAGAAGACGATTCCACAGCCAAAGTCAACAGACAAACATCATCACTCACTGTTGCCATGCCAACCAGGATGGTAAGTTAATAAGTTATATCTGAATGCTGCAGATGAAGTTGCGTATGCATTTGTAGCCAGCCTTGGGCAACTTGGATCAAGGACCAATAGTTAACTAGTGGTTGGTTTGTGCCGTACCTAGTGCATTCGCAGTGCAGATAACGTAGGGAACGTATCAACGACTCTAGTTGAACTAAGTCATGTCAAGGACCATGAGAAAATGGCGGTCGCACAATTTTTCAACATTTGACGTTTCTGTTAATATGTACACAAATAGTAGTAATTGTGTACTTAATACAAATTGCAGTTATACAATGGCGACAAAAGTGACAGAATCGTAAAGTTACACGGAAAAACTATGACATGAAAATGAAATTATCAGCTCTCACAGTTTTCATTTTTCCGCCATTTTTGTTGATAGTAGGTCCCCTCTGCACTATGCTATGAAAATTGCTATTGATAACCAGTAATATCATGGCACGACCAGCCGCAGTAGGTTGGTCCTGAATAGTGGACTAGACTAGTCGTCCACTAGTGCGTTTGACCAGAGTTAGTCGAACTATGGTTAACTACATGTATGGTCAAACTTGCCTCTTGCAGAGAATATTTTTCTGATTTTAATCAGAAAACCGACTTTTGGAATTTTCCAACAAAATCTCCAATTTGTTAACAACTTGTGCCCCACAAAATTTTATTTGTTTTACGATTTTTCCACAATATGTGACTTTATTTAAATTATAATTTCAAAGAAAAGTCGACGAAAAAGTCAATGACAATGGCACATAAAAATTATCGCGAGCGTAGTTTTACTCTCTTTCACCAGTCGTAAATGGAGTGTTACTACGGTAGAAACACCCAGGTCAACACTGATTGGAACCCTTTCCCGGCTGGATTAAAGGTGAAATATCGACGTTTGACATGGAAAAATCACTGCGTCAGTGGATTACACTAAGTGTGGAGCATGCTTGCACAATGTAATATGCAACGGTACCACCGTACATGACCGGCCGGGTACGGATAGCTGGTCCCGCACATTTTTTTTCCCCAAATGACATCCACATGGGGTGCACGCTATGGCGTTTTTGGACTTTACTTCTCTAAAAACTTGATAAGAAAATATAAAATCAGAAAAAAAGAAATGAACTCGAACAAATTGAAATTCTGACTTTATTTCCCTTTTTGAAAAAAATCCTCCAAAGATTGGAAAAGAACAAAATTCTGGTACAAAATGGTGACTCGAACCTACAACTTTGCGGTCCAAAATCACGGCCCTACCAACTGAGCTGTTGCACTGCTCGACAAATCCTGGGAAAAAAAATTAATATATATATACATGTACCTGCGTACGTATCATTAAAGTATCGTAGAGGGTGCTAAACAATCATGTAATATGGATACATACATGTAGTTTGGGAAAAGAAAATTCACGGCCAGGCCACATGAATGATCCGATGGATAAAATTCATGTTGTTCGATTTACGGAGGTTGCAGATTTAGTTGTACAAAAATGCAATGCTTTAATCCTATAGGGCCGGGGGGGGGGGGGTTGGACCTCTGTAAATTAGGATTTTAGCTGAGATACGTGCGGATGCACACCCGACTGTCCAACAGATTGACCTTGTCCACTTGTACAAGACATGCTCCAGCAGGAACGGCCAGGGACCCAGTACTAGCAGAGCTGCAAAGAGTCATCTACTCTGGTTGGCCAGACTCTATCAAAGATCTCCCTCGTGATCTACGAGTACGACCCTACTGGTCCTACAGGGAAGAACTTGGACTCTCATGCATTGCCATCTAAAAGGGCGACAAGTCCTGATACCAGAATCCAAGTGCAATGTACATTCTCAACGACCTTCACACTGGACATGACCAGTTAGACATTGAGAAAACATGACATTTGGCATGTGACTCTGTCTTCTGGACAAAAATAAACGACCAAGTAAGCCGTGTGGTGTCCTCATGTCACACTTGTCAGGAAGACCAGCTTGGCCAACGCAAAGATCCATTTCAGCCTCATGAGATCCCAACTTCACCATGGTAGAACTAGGAAACCGACATCTTCATGCCACTGATTGAGCCTCAGGAGATCCCAACCTCACAATGGGTAAAACTGGGAACCCACCTCTTCATGCCACTTGATTAAACCTCATGAGATCCCAACCTCACCATGGGTAAAACTGGGAACCGACCTCTTCATGCCACTTGATTGAACCTCATGAGATCCCAACCTCACTATGAGTAAAACTGGGAACCGACATCTTCATGCCACTTGATTGAACCACATGAGATCCCAACCTCACTATGGGTAAAACTGGGAACCGACCTCTTCATGCCACTTGATTGAGCCTCATGAAATCCCAGCCTCACCATGGGTAAAACTTGGAACCGACCTCTTCATGCCACTTGATTGAGCCACATGAGATCCCAACCTCACCATGGGTAAAACTGGGAACCGACCTCTTCATGCCACTTGATTGAGCCTCATGAAATCCCAGCCTCACCATGGGTAAAACTGGGAACCGACCTCTTCATGCTCGGAAACAAACCATCGGGCCATGTCTTGCACTTTTCTGAGGTGACTGATATCTTTAATTTGGTCTTTACGCATCCAAGAAAAAGATCAGATGACTTCCTAGTACCATTGCAAGCCAATGCTTTTAGAGATCAGTAATTCTTGAACTTCAGAGATTGCGACATTATACCAAGGCCATTGTGATGAGCACCCCCCTTTAGTTTTTGTCAAGTTGTTAGAATCAAGAGAGTTTTTTTTCATCAAAAACAACTTCTTTATCTGAAACTGACTTCTCTTAAATCTAACGATAATATATTTTGAAATTTGAAAAGTATATTTCATTGGAAAATGCGATTTTAAAATGCATATATTTCAGTTCATGACATTCCCAAAATTTCCCACAAAAAATCAAACCGTCCTTTGTCCGCGAATCCTTTGTTGCCTTTAAATGTCGCTTAATAGTTTGGTAAGTTCAATAAAACTTGTGTAACTACACAATCGCAAAAAGACTGCTCACAATACCATTATAATCTGCCTTGCAGTGAAAAATATTTGGCCTATTATCTGTTCAATGTTGTTTCTCCCAACAATTTAAGAGAAAACTAACAGCATGCAGCTTTCATCTTGCTTCAGATCGCTAATGTCCCACTTTTGGTTGCCAGTATTGTGTCCTTGCACCTACATGTATGGTTAGCGGATAGGCTGTGAGTGATATGCATGCTATACACACGGTGGTATTTTGACTGTAAATGGATTAGGAACCTATCCCACGGCTGCCGTGGAAATGCTTCACCTTATTTCTTTACGGAAACCTAACAAAAATAAAGTGTTTAAGTTGTAGTTTTGAGGCTTCATGCGGCTAGGCTTATGCGTTTTTTTGAAGAGTGTCCAGGAATAATTTGAAGTGTTTTGTTTGTTTACTTTCGTCTGGCTGGTTCAAAGTAGGATTTGTAGGTATTTTTTGGTTATTATATTTGTTTATTTTGGTTGTCATATAAGGGGCTAATATTTGTTTTTTTAGATTACAGACTACAGACAACAGCGGCCTATAAAGAAATTTAGGGTGATTGATAATATGCAGACGGTTCAAATGTCATTGCTTGGCATACTATGAGGTCTTGGATCTTGGATAGGTTGGCTTGCTTTTAAGAGTGCTCATGGATAATTTGAAGTGTTTTGTTATTTTAGTTTCGTCTTTTAGTTTCGTTTTGTTTGGTTATTTTGTATGTTTATTTTGGGTTTCCTAGGGGCTGATATCAGTTCATATAGATTACAGACTACAGACAAGGGCGGCCTATAAAGAGATGCAGGATGATGGATGATGCAGACGGTTCAAATGTCATTGCTGAGTGGTTTTTGGCACGCTATGGGATCTTGGATCTTTGATATGTTTTAATACCTCCAATACTCCTTAAAGAAGTCATAGCTGTTTAAGCTCGATGTGCTGGCCTTGCACTGAGTACATGTCTTCAATTGAGACTTCTAGTTTCAACCCAACTGGACAAGCTTAGTCTTGATGCAATATCTTGTACACAATGTACGTGGTACAGGTATTGGTATAACAATTGGATTGGTTCAGGTGTTAGATATCAAATAGAAGGCAGTTTATTTCTTACAACTCTTACAATCCCCTGAGCAGCTAATGACAGTGTTCTTCTTGGTCACCCGTTGTCCATTTAATGAAGCATGCTGTTGTTTTTACAATGGTCTCAGTAGGGATTCGTAATGTTCTGAATTACTGTGTGATGATATCTTAGGGTATATTTTAATTGTTGTTGTTAATTTTTTTTCCTGTTCAGCTTTTGAACTTTGTCAAGTTAACTTTTCCTATTCAACGACTGCTGTGATGGTTTCTGGATTGAAAGTCAAATTCTTTGTTTATAGGCATACCCCTGACGCAGGACTCATCGTATTTTGACTGTAAATGGATTAGGTACCAATCCCATGGCTGCCCTGGAAATGCTGCACCTTATTTCTTTATGAAATCTAGCAAACATAAAGTGTTTAAGTTGTATAGTTTTGAGGCTTCATGCAGCTAGGCTAGTGCCTTTTTTGGAAGAGTGTCCAGGGATAATTTGAAGTGTTTTGTTTGTTTACTTTCGTCTGGCTGGTTCAAAGTGTGATTTGTAGGGATTTGTTTGTTATGTGTGTTTATTTTGGGTTTCCTAGGGGCTGATATCAGTTCATATTAGATTACAGACTACAGACAACGGCGGCCTGTAAAGAGATGCAGGATGATTGATGATGCAGACGGTTCAAATGTCATTGCTGAGTGGTTTTTTGGCACGCTATGGGGTCTTGGATCTTGGATACGTTAACCCCCAAATACTCTGTGACAAAGTTATAGCTGTTTTAACTCGATGTGTTGGCCTTGCACTGAGTACGTATACTGTCCTCAATTGAGACTTTCAGGTCCAACTCAACTTGACAAGCCTAGTCAAGATGCAATAACTTGCCTGTAGTACAGGTATCCATGGACTGGTTCAAATAGAAAGCAGTTATTAGTTCT